TACATTTACATAACACAAACAGAAATCAATTGTTCATCATGAGGTAATTGTCACAACAAAACGGGCATGAACCTTTTACCTATTAACCATTTACATTGTTTATGATGTAGGCTACTGCCTCCAGCAATATATTATTAAACAAAACCTAAAACCAGTTGGATTCTTGGCAAACATTCTCCCATTTCTCTAGCTTCATCAAGGAAAAGTACCATGTGCAGGATATTTCGGTCATGTTAAGAGAGGCATTTTCTTCATCTCTTGGCATCTGGAGAGGATCCTCCACCGTCGTTTGGATGCTGACCATTTTCTTGTGATGTAGACTCGCTCTCGCGCCCTTTGGGCAAAACTGGAGCAAGTTCTATTTTTTGTCTGCCAAGATGGTCTTCCACAGATTTACTTGATTCTGACGCATTCCCCATGTTGTTTTCCCCATGTTTGACTTTACCACCTTCTCGATCTTTTTCAGAGTTCTTTGYCGTACCACTTCCTGATGGTTTTCTGGATTCAACAGCAATTTCCTTTATGGTCTCCTCAAGTTTATCCAGTCTTATTTTTACCTCCTGTAGCTCTGGATTCTTTTCCTGAATTTCTTCGGTCTCTTCTAACTCCATTTGTTTAGCTTTCTCTTCTTCTTCTTTCTTCCTTTTCAGCTCCAGGTCCTGATATGGTGACTTTGGTTAAGAAAACCATTGAATAACTGAAAATCACAGAAAAAAATTGTTAAGAGACAAATCAATGAACCAAAGGAAAACTTCAAATATCCAAATCCCTGTGGATTTGAATGGCGTTACCACTCATTGCCACCTAGCCTTTTAGTACCCAAGAAAAAACAGTTTTTTTTGCTTTCCATTTTATACAGAAACAGATTCCTCATGACCATTTTATAAGCAATAAACAAAGTACCTAGGATCCAGAATGATAATTACAAAAGGTTGACTCTATCAACATTTCAGTTTTCTATAAAAGATAAGGCCAATAAGTAGTATATAAATTAATCTAATTATATGAAATCAAAAAATATATATAACTGTGAACTTTTGGCTTCCCGACCTTCCACATTCCCAGATTTACTCACTGCATGTAGCAAAGGCTGTTCACATATGAAATTATTACATTTTTTAACACCAAACCACTCTTGAAACCACTAGATATCATAACTTTAATTCTTGAGACAATTACTAGTTATCATAATAATTCATAATTTAACAGTCTTTAATGATTGAGCTTTTAAATCAAAGTTTATGATGCCAAACATGAACATATAGACTAATCTAGATTTAAGAGACGAAATGATGATGCAGTCATTTCATCTCTTACATTGATATCTAATTAAATAATTACTAATCATGAAAACTTAAAGATTATTCCATGGCTATATTTGAAAACTACTGTCTATCTTTAAGAATGAACAATAATTTTCCAACTTGGAAAACTTATTTGGTAAGATGGTTTTTCAAACTGTTAAAAAAACAGAAATTAGAACCATTTAACAAAATTTTCAAAAAGATAGTTTGAATTTTAGCTTTCTTTTTTTTGGTGGGAAGTTCGAAAATAAGATTTTGAAAACAGTTTTCAGATGAATGTACCTCAACAGCCTCTTAAACTGGAATTAATGGTAACTTAACAACAATATTTATGATAATCCAAAATCACATAAAAGAAAATATACCTACAGCACACTAATTCTTGAATGACCTCTAAAACTTAAATCTCTTGTCTCATAAAGGAACGGCATTTTTTGCTTCGGGGCAGGATGAGAGGGGCATTAAAGAGGCAGGAGCTAGGCGATCTTATTGAACTTTTTTTTCTTTAATGAAAATCATACCGAGCTTTCATCGAGAAAACTGAAAGAATGCAAACAAGCCTATAAAATGACAAGTCCAACACAAAAGGAGCCTAGACAAAAGAAAAATACTTTGCCACTTAACGTCGAGGACCAAATCTTGTCCTCACCMCCATTAGAAAATTGACAACTCATTAATTTTTTTAAAAAGTCTRTGTTTTTTATTTCTCTCTAAGTTGTCAAACATTTAATGGTGGTAAGGATAAGATTGCTCCTTACTGTTAAGGAGCCAAGTATTTTTCTAAACAAAAATCCTATGTGTTATAGAAACAAAAATGGGCTCCGACCAATAAGACTATTGCCAATTATGACACGGTTAATAATTATGATCCTCCATGTAAGGTTTTTCATGCATAACTACAAATATATATAGGAACATCTAGTTAACAACCATAAACTATATATTTTGCAGAGGTACTGCATAAATGTTTGGCATCGAACACTTGAAAGCTTGCTACATCAATAATCAAACCCTATTCGAGTTATCATATAAAAAGGGTTTGCTATTGTTTTCCAATCCTGTCCTGTAAATCATTATAACCTTAGCATACGGTGAGAATAAACCAAAATATGGAAGACAGTGAAAACTAAGGAAAGATCATTCCTGTAATGACGTTAAATTATGAAATCAAGTTGGGCAAATGTCATCAGGCAATATTAAGACTAAAGAACATACAAAGCGGTAAATGCAGAATGTAAACTTAAGAAACTTGAAAATGAGGCCCTTAAATTTAGTTACCGCTTCCATTTTCCTCATTTCATAACGAGCATATTGGGCCACCAAATAAACAGCTGTTTCAGGAAATAAGTGCATTTAGGCAAATGATTAAGACACAGATAATGACTCTAGCCAAACACTGTATTAGGAGAGAGAGAGGTAGAAGGTACCCAAAGAAGGCATGCAAACAAAGAAGAGTTGCACCAGATGGAAATCAATCCTGAGCATGAAAGAAAGATGTTAAATACATGTATCACGGTTGCAAGGAGAGAAAATTGATGGACCATTTGATACAAATTCTTTTATAATAAAGCTTTACAAAACAAATGGTGCTGGGTATTGCTATTGAATATTCAAATTTCACCACCCCATGGAAATGTACACAATCATACAGCACGACCCACTCCATGCCATCAGATATTACAGATACGGACACAAAATGTTTGATAAAATGCCCCAGAGAGCAAGAAGATGAACGAACTCAGTGCCCAGAAACAGAAGCTACTCCAAGTATCAAACTACACAACGGAGATTAAACAGCCATGTAAGACGAAGATAGAGACCAGAAAGGGATACCCAAATTTCTTCTTCTTGGGAGGATCAGTGAAGAGGATCTTGGAGGCGGTCATGAAGTCCAGGTTATCCAGCTGCTTATAAGCCTCACCGTAGCTGCTCAGATCCGACTCAACCTTGTTGTTGCCATTGTTATTGGTGGGAGTGTGGGATTTGGAGCAGAATGATCTGGTTTGGAAAGGCTTGAATCGCTTTGAAAATCGACCCCAACTGACTCTGGCGCCAAACATTGTTCTTGAACGCGATGGAATTTGGGGGAAGTGCAATGAATATATACAGGTCGCTTATTTTGATGGGCCTGACTACTCTTCATTTGCCAGGCCCATTAAACTACCAAGGTTTGGGCTGTGGCTCGCTGATTTTGATGGGCCTGACTACTCTTCATTTGCCAGGCCCATTAAAGTGCCAAGGTTTGGGCTGTGGCCCACCCTCCTTCCTCTCAAACATATTTTTATATTCATTTCACTTTTAATAATGGCAAATGATTCTTGATAATGGAAAAAATGYCTCTTCAAAATGCATTCTAATTTTGTCCAATTATATTTATAAACATAGTATTAAATTTACAACTTTAATTATAATATGCTAATTTCAACATAGTTTGACTGATCTTTTAACTAAAAAACGTGGATTATAATCATTTCTTTTACCTTCTATTAGACAAATTTAGACATACCAATTCGAATATAGCTCAAGTGGATAAAATATCTTAATATCATCTTAAAGATTGATAGTTCARTCTATTTCATAAGTTGAACTAAAAAAATATGATAAAACTTGAATATTAACTTGAGAGATGTTATAGTAAGAATGGGAAGGAGAAATAATCTTAGCAAGGAGTAAATTGGTGGAAGTGTCAAAATGTTAGAAGCTTTGGCCATCCTTGAAAGCCTTCAAGCATTGGATTTCCTGTGTCTTTTCCAATTAGGGTGGAATCCGATTCGTTGGAAGTTGTGAAGATCTTGCAAGGAAAGGTGTCCGATTTATCGAAAATAATTTGGGTTGTGAATGAAATTCAGGCCTTGAGTTCTTTTTGTGAGGTAACTGATTTTGTAAAGGTGGATAGGGAGGCAAATTTCTGCGCCCACGCCATTGCGCAAAGAGCGTCTGAAATTTAGGAAAGTGAGGTTTAGACGGTTTCTATCCCTTCTTGGCTGGGCTGTCTGGACATTAAGGATTTTGCGGCTTTTTAACGAAGTATTCCTTTTTAAAAAAAATGATTTTTATTTTAAAAAAGTAGAGCATAAATTACATTATTATTAATTGACATGTGTTCCAAATTTTGTTAGAGGTATAATAATTTATCTAAAAAAATTAGTTCATTAAAATTATTTTTCTTTTACAATATTGAATTATTAATTATTATTATGTTACATGTATATTAACAAGGGATTAAAGTAGGAAAAAAAACGTCTATTATGATGGACCCACCTTAGTGGCTAACCTAGAAAGCTTCATCATTATATTCCTCTTCTCTTAATTTGATACAACAATACGTGGAGCTAGAGTTCAATTCTTTACTCATACTTTAACCAGTTGAATTATACTTAGATTAACTTTTTAATTAATTAAATATATATAATTTATATATTTATAACTTAAAATGATATTCAATTTGAATAAATTCTCAACTTTAATTTATCAAAACAATAGAATTGCTATCTAATCAAGATAATCTTGTAATGCCAAACTGAGCATAGTTCAAGTGGTTAAGGCACCTATCTCTGATGAGGAGGTCTCGATAAAATTTTATTCTATTGCAAATCTAAAAGAATTTAAGTATTTACAACTATTTTAAAATTAAAAAAAAAATCATGTTCAATATTATTTAGTAAGCTATCTTTAAGATTAAAATTATTTTAAAATTTACTACAGGGCCAAAACGGGTTTAATTTTAGATCATATGTTTTTTGTACACAAAGTTTAATATTTATTTAAATAAAATGAAAAGAAAAAGAAAAAGAAATGTTCTTACCTTTAACTTTGTTTCCTCAATGATACAAAAAAAAGTTGTATTATTTAAACGAATGTCTTTTGGTTGCCACTCTGATTAATTTTAGATGATTCGTTTTAGGTTGTAATTCCACACTTTCTGCCTTTGTTAAAAATATATATATATAATTATAAAAAAATAACCCTTTAAAATTCATGCATTTCTATCACTTTTTATGCTTAAATTTAATGAAATTGGTACACATGATTACATGATTATATATAACATGAATAGAAGGTCTACCAAAAAAACAGCAAAAAATCGAACAAGAAAAACAACGAAACAAAACCAATAACAAAATAAAAATTACAAACAAAAGCAAGAAACTACGAACTAGAAAAGAAAAAATAATTCAGTTATGAAAATAGACTCCATCAAAGTTCAGCCTCTGAAATTAATACTATCACGTCAAAGTGAAAGCACAAACATAAACATCACTTTGAATAAGATGTAATATAACTGAAGTCGGGCTATATACACCTCCATGAATTCTAGAATTACGTTCTCTCTGAATATGAGATATAGATGCAGCCCCAAGCAAGCCCTCTATATTATGGAATTATATTCACATCGTATATCTAAGTGACCGACCTCTACTAATACGATAGATCCACTTCAGCCATGTATCTTATGGACAAATACGATATGAAGAGCCCGTTGAAGCGATCATACAACCCGAGACAAGATTGCTAAAAATACAATAAAAGAAAATATGGTCTTAGTTTCAATCCCATAAAAACAAAGGACACAAGAACCTAGATCAAAAGGACATCAATCACGAGTCGACGGACGATCACGAATTGTGCCAACCAGGTCAAGAAAGAATGTTTAGGGATAGGAAAAAAAAAAAAAAAACCAAATCGTATGATGTCAAGGCACGTAGGTGCCCTTGGAGTGAAGAGCGGCCCAAACACTTGAGATAGAAAACAACCCCGATGTCGTCGCGGAAGTCCAAATAATCTTGTCCTCCATCTCCAAACTTGGAGATATAACTTTTACAAAAGCCTGTACTTCCAAAAGATTAATGGAAAAACATGGCTCATGTCACTCTCCATCTGGACCTATGAAATTAGAAACTGTTGAGAGCTAGTAGCACCATTAATAATCCTTACTCTATATCGCTATACTAAGGTACTCAAAGGAAGCCAGGAGCCAAAACATCACTGACCATTCCCAAAACAATATTCCTAACAAAGGGACGAAATGAATTTAGAAGACTAAGAATAGCCTTCCAACACTAGGATAGAAATAACTTGAAAATGAGGCTTGATGAACCAAATGTAAAGAATAGGTGATTAAGTCATTCCTATTTTTTTAATAGGTTCTAGGTTCAAATTTTCATTACATGTCAGGTAATATTCTAATCAAAATTTGTATTTTTTCAAGTTCAAACAAAATTTATAACGTCTCATAAATTAAATATGGTGTATTCACGCTAACCTGAGAATGGTTCAGTTAGTAAAATACCTATTTTTTGACAAAAAATAATATATCTTCATTTAAATCCGAATTGTACTAAAGGAATATGAAAGATGACAGTATTTACGTATGTCATTTTCCTTGGTCTTTTAAAAAAAAAATGTCATATTCTTTTAACTTCTAGAGACATTTGTGTCATGAAAGGATAATTAATACTAAAAATAAAACCTTCTTTCAAATTTTGTATGGAGAAGAGAGTTTTCATTTTAGAGAAAATAACCTTCATTTACTTTTTGGTACTTTCTATCATTGTATTTATCGACCCCTATCTTAAAAACATTCAATCACGCCAATTCACGTATAACTCAAGTTAACTCAAGTGAATAAGTTATTAATTGTCATCTCAAATATGGATGGTTTGAACGCCCACCAATAAAATTGTTGAACTCAAAAGAAAAAAAAAACATTCGATTACATTCGTAAATGGTAGAATATGATGAATATGCTTCTATTGGTTTAATTTCTGTAGTTAATATCATTAATAAAATATTGACATAACATTCTAATTTAGTATGTTCAACTGTTTGCAACATCACACAAAGTTAGCTAAAATCAGTCTAATAGATATGCCACTATAATATTTCATTATGTCTAATCCAAAGTTTTATATAATTTAAGTTTTTTAAAGGAGTTGATAGATTAAATGGACTAAATGTTCAAAGTTGAACCACTAAAATTTAGATCACATCTTATAAACTTGTGTTTTTATACCATTAATCCTTTTTTTTAAAGTTGAATAACATGTGAGAGCAGGGGCTTGAGAATGTGGGCGTGGGTCGCAATTTTCCATCAACACGGATAATGTGACGATGTTTGACTTCCTGGCCCAGGAGAAACTCACACCAACATAGGGATGACAATGAGTAAGACATATTTACAAAATTTGATTGATATGGTGATAGAGTCTGTTGCTTTGATGGACCAATTAGGTCGTGGATGCCTTAAGCTTAAGTAGGAAGACAGAGTTGGCGACATTTATGTGTGAGGAAGTAGTAGTCACCAGTAGGATCGTGGTACCATATCGCATCATATTCGACTGAACTTGAAAAATTACCCACAAGAAGCCTTTGACTTTTTAGTCAATGATACATACATTAATTCTGTAGGAGATAATATGCATAGAAAACTTAAGGAAACACAAAATTAAAAATCCGAACCCAACGTAGCGTTTTTTTCTTAAGACAATTTTGTTCCCACGGTGCTCAAGGTTTCATGAACAATTGTCTCCCAAGATAGGACGGATATACCAACCTGTGAATGCAGCACTTCACACACAGGATTCAACGAACTCACAATATTTAAGTATTCGTATAGAGGAAACGAGAGAATTTTGAGAGATCTATGTTCCAAAATTGAGAAGAACCACGTATTTATAGACTATTTGTGGTCATTTAAATAGTCACATCATGTAAAGTTATGTCTTTTGATAAAATGATATACATTTACAAAAGATGCACAAGTTTATGAAAAGCTGTGATGGTTCAATTTTAACAAAAATAATTTTATTCAAAAAAATTCCAATAAATTGAGGTAGGTCTAGATTCGTAATGTTCTATAATTATTAAGCTTAAATTATTTTATTAAAAACAATAAAAAAATTTTGGTAACTTTTTTTTAATAAAAAGATCAAAATATAATATTTAAAAGTATAACGATGAAAATGAAATAAACTTAAATGTTCAATTAGAGGGTGAAAAAAGGAGAGACACATTCCTCAATTTATTGAAGAGATCGAGTTCTCTACTCTCAACTCTTACAACAACTGGTGGCACCCACTTGAATTACAAGATTCCCATTTCCCAACCCCACTTAAAAATTCATAAACTTTTGTTAATAATCAAGAACAATTATGGTTACCCATTAATTTAATTTCTTTTTACTTTTTGCGCGGAGCACTTTTTTTTGTTTATGTTTCCGATGATCATTTTCTATTGGTTCGAAGATATTTAGCAATGGAGGAGTTGTTATTAGTTGGAGTGAGGGAGTGAAGTGAGATCGAAATGTTGTGCAGAAGAATCTCCAGCAATGGCGATTCCGGATCGGCGCCAGTGTACCTCAATGTGTACGATCTGACGCCCATTAATGGCTACGCATATTGGTTCGGCCTCGGAGTTTATCATTCCGGTGTTCAAGGTTAGCGCTCTCATTAAGCTTCTCTTCTCGCTCTAATTCCTCGTTTTCTATGCTGGATTCTGCTGTTTTAGATCTGCATTTCTGATGCTTAATCTGGATTTGGAAATTGTTGAATGATGAATCCACTTTTGGGGGGCGGCTCTGGGTCCTGACGAGTTCTGCTTCTGTTTGGTTGGTGAGAAATTGAGGGAAAATTTAACGAGCTTTGAGGTTTTTGCATTCAGTACCCTCGTTTGTTGATCTTGTTAGTGTAATTTACTACATTTGCTCAATCTTTCCCGCTGTTTTCTGGACCTCCCATTTTTACGGGCTCTGTTTGGTTGCTGAGAAAATTAAGGAAAATCAAACGAACTTCGAGGTTTTTTACTTTCAGTAGACTCGTTCGTTGTTCTTGAAGTCTAATTTACTCTTGGATGATCTTTCCTGCCGTTTTCTGGACCTCCATTTTGACGAATTCTGTTTTGTTGGTGAGAAAATGAAGCAAAATTAAACGAACTTCGAGGCTTTTACTTTCAGTAGACTCGTTCGTTTGTTCTTGTAATTAGTATAATTTACTCTTGGATAATCTTTCCTGCTGTTTTCTGGACCTCCATTTTGACAAATTCTGTTTGGCTGGTGAGAAAGTGAAGGAAAACTAAACAAACTTCGAGGTTTTTGCTTTCAGTACCATCGTTTATTGTTCTTTTCAGTGTTAATTTACTCTTTGAAAACATCTTTCCCTCTGTTTTCTGAACCTCCATTTTCCATCTGAAACTGAGAAATCTGTGCGATTCTGATGCAGTTCATGGGATTGAATTTGCATTTGGGGCTCATGAATATCCGAGCACAGGGATATTTGAAGGGGAACCGAAGCAGTGCGACGGATTCAAGTTCAGAAGATCAATTTTGATTGGGAAAACAGATTTGAGTCAAGCAGAAGTGAGGTCATTAATGGAGGAACTTGGTAAAGATTACAGAGGAAATGCATATAATCTAATCACCAAAAATTGCAACCATTTTTGCAACCAAGTTTGCATGAAACTCACTGGAAATTCCATCCCAAGTTGGGTCAATCGTCTAGCAAGAATTGGTAAGATCCCACCTCTATTCCAATTGTTCTATCAATTTGCATTTCCTTTTCTGTTCCTTGCTGTTTTTTCTTTTTCCTCTTGCAATCATGGTGCTAAAAACCCTCGTTAGTTACAAATTTAGTCCCAAAAAGTGTTGTTACAAAAATGTAAACTTTAAAAGTATTTATTAGATGGTTTGACTTATCAGACATTTTTAAAAATCATCACCCTATTAGATATGAAATTGAAAGTTTATCGGGTTAACTTTTTATTAAATTATTTAACAGAATTATTAGATAGTTACATTTTGTTCATTCATCCTATCAATAGATATACTACAAGGTAAAGCATTTGAAGCCACTTGCAATTAGTTAGATATCGAATCATTCAACAGATTTGAGCTAAAAGTTAGCTACAAAGACTGCAATAGGTTTTTAAATTAGAAAAATTTGAGAACAAGTACTAAAATAGAACGTTCTAAAGATTAATGGTGTGTTTAGGAGTGATGGTATAAAGAGTGATTTTGGAAAAAGAGATTTAAGAATAATTAATTTTCCAAAATCACTAGACCTTGAAAATCAACTATAAGTAATTTTAAGCCATTTTTAATTTATCACGATGAATGGAAAGGGAGTGATTATGGTGATGTCGAAAGTGATTTTGCCATGTGAAGATCACCCAAACACACCCTAAGAATCGAAATAGGATTTTAACCGATTTTGTTTCTGTTTGTCATCTGATGAAGACTGTGATGAATTTTAGTGTTTGGGATGAATCTCTGAGATGGGTTTTGGAATGCAGGGTGGATTTGCAACTGTGTTTTACCAGCAACCTTAAACTCCACAAAATTTGGACAAAACAGAGTGAAAAAGAAGACAAGTGAAGAAGAAGAAGAAGAAGAAGAGAAGAAGAAGAAGGAATCGCCAATAGTCCAAACAGCTGAAATTGCAGCTTCTAATTCATCTTCTTCTTCTTCATCTTCTCCAACCATTCTCCGCAGAGGCAGAAGCAGAACCAGACGACCTCGTCCTCCACCTTCTCCATTGATTCCCACTTCCAATTCTTGAAGATTACTCCTCCCCCCTCTAAATTATCTCTCTCTCTCTACAAAAGGCATTTTTTATGGGGGTATTTCAGTGATTATGTAAATTGTGTATTATTAGGCAAAGTGGGTTGTTTGCCTGTCTCTTCAGTGTTTTCCCCTCCATTACTGTCCCATTTTCTTGGATTTTCTTGAGCTGCCATTAAAGTTACAGGTTGGGTTTTGAAGTTTCTTGATGGGCAAATTCATTTTTTTTTTGTTGCAAATATGATCTTTTGGAATGATCAAGAGGGGACTTTATTATTATTATTATTATTATAAATTCCCAAAACTAGTTTTCAAATGGGAGATATAGGTTTTATGTTCCGTGTCTCTTCTCTTTGAAGTTTGAAGTAGGTTTTGACCATGTTAGAATTGATATCTACTCCTCTTAAAGTTAGAAGTTCGAATCCTATAACTCTAATTTGTTGTACGGAAAACAATGATATTGAATTGACTAGAAATTCTCCAATGAAATTTCTAATGAAATTATTTTTCTAATTGTTAGATTACATATATAAAATGAAGTTTGCAATAAATTATTAAAAAGAAAAAAGAGTTACAAATTTTGTGCATAATAGTAAACGTCAAAAAGAATTCATATTTTTTACTTCTATGTTGATTAGATTTGGTGAGTAAATTTTAATTTTAAACATTCAGTTTCTTCAAAATTAAATAAATAATTTCCTTCAAATTTACCAACAAATTATGCATACTTTTACCAATAAAATATTCAAAATCAAGCCACATAGTAAAGTCTTCCAACTCTATAATAAAATGTGTAAATCCAATTAAAAATTGATGTTTACGTGAAGTACACATCAAAGTATCATAAAAAGTTATGAGAAAACGACATCAAAGTATATGCATGCTCCATAATTTGTTATACTAAAAAAAAAGTATCAAAAAAATCTCGAAAGCTAAACTTACTCTGTCGTGATATTATTGTTCCTTAGGAAACAACTTTTTATGGATAAGTACCTCAAATTATGTAAAATAACCCTAAAAATTAGCCATGGAGTTGGCAAAGAGTCATTGGAAAGGAAAAAAGAAAATTTAAATAACCTAAAATTAAGGTGCAGATTTGCAAGGAAAGCTGCGCCCTTTGTGACTTTGGTGTTTCTATTTGTGCTCTTTTTGAATGCTTTAAGGGTCAAAAAGTTTGAGAAATTAACCATTTTTTTGAAATTGGTGCAACCTGCCATTCACTTTCAAACAATAAACATCTACTCCATGTGGTAAGCCTTTTGTTTAGATTCATTGAAAGGTTTTGGTTTAAATAGTATTTTTCCTTCCCTCTAAATTATTGCTTTCTTTTTAGTTTAGTATTTTGAGTTTTAAAACATTTCACTTTTGTGACCATTTTTTTCGTTTAATTGAGGTTGAAAAGATAACATACAAAAAGTTCAATAATGCAAATATAGCAACTCAACAATATAAGTAAGTGGAAATATGCTAAAAGAGAAAGGAAAAAAAAATGTATAACACACTCTTTAGTAATTAATATAGCTATATTAGTAAATATCTAGATCAATTATCAATTAAATATTTTAGTAATTAATTTAGTGAACAATATTAATATTATAAAATTAATTTTAAAATATTAAGTCGAGCTTCTATTACAATATCCAAAAATATCAACAATAACGGAGTAAACTATTGCCAACATGAGCTTAGTTCAGGCGGTTTACGACAGAATGATATTATTAAATCAATTTTGATTTTTAGAAAATTATATAGCATTAGAAGGCTATCACACACATTTGAATTTTCTGTTCCTGGAAACTAAGGGACAAAAAACACACAAAAATGGAAATAATAACTTTAGTCATTCTAAAAATGACTTATAAAAAAAAAAAAAAAGGGTTATTTGACCATGATTCCACCTAAGATCTATAATCTATTGGCAACCTTGCTTTTTCTTTCCCCCTCTTTTTTGGGTCTTAATTGTGGGGAAAGTATTCAGAAGGCATTAGAAATAGGAGCACTTGCAAAAGTAGCGAAATAATAATAATAATAATAATAAAATTTTGAAAAGTTTTGCAAAAATAGCAAAGCTCAACTTGCATGAAAAAAATAACCAATTTAATGAATACAGAGTCTAAACAATAATATACTTCATATATATATACATGGTTTGATGTACAATTAATAAAATCGAAATAACTAAAAATAACAAAAACCAAAATTCAAATATTTTATCATATTTATTTATGTTATCTATCTATAAATTATAAAATGAGAAAATTTTAAGTTATCCATTAAAAATTTACTTAGAAGTATTTCCAAATTCTTCCTCTCCAACATTTCAACTTGAGTTGCTCTTTCATGCATACACAAAAGTCTGTAAAATATCAGTCAATTGGATGCCAAAATGATGAAGAATGGATGCAACTTTAACAATTTTGCAGAATCATCCACATGAATATTTGGAAATGATAACTTTAACATAATGGGAATTACCATCGATTTCAAAGGAGTTAAAAAAAAAAAGGAATAATAACTGAAAATCCTGCTGCTACAGAATGTGCTCGAACTGAGCCTGCAGAAAGAGCAATGTTGATATAGGTGGTTAGAAGCGAAGCCCTTCGAAATGATGGCGTATATAGAATCTGAAGCGGGACGAGAATAAGATACTTGCTTCGACAACTGTGGCGTATACATCAAATACATTGTATGATGAAGACACATCAGGATTTTAACTCTGTTTTGCATGTAACCATTCGACAAAATTGTCGAGGATCAAAGGCCAAGCAAGCTCCGAATCGTAATTGCTCAGGTCAGGATAGCTTATCTGCATAATGATCATCAAGTGTCACAAACTTGAATTGAGGGACATCAATACCATATACTGATGAAACAAACAAATGAATTGAAGGTGGATAGAGAAATTATTGTTGCATCATACTGCACTTTTCCTTATGATTTTCTATATGCTTGGAAGTTTGTAAAGTAGGAGAAATTCTAGGAACTATTTCAACCACTGCACCATCCAAATACCCATTTGATAGACCAATTAGAAAACAAAAGAATTCACATACTTAGATACTAGTTCTCCATAAAATTATACTTGTTTGCTCACAACTTCCTTGGCATGTTTTTATCTTTCTTAAAAAATACATTTCCGTTTTTAGCCAAATTCCAAAAATAAAAACTACTTTTCTTAGTTAAAATTTGATTGGAATTTGAGGAAACAAAGAAATTCATGAAAAAGCTAAACAAAATGCTTTCCAAACGGGACCTTAAATACCTACCTTTGAATACTATTTTCTTCACAGCATGTTATAGTAAATTCCGTTAGCAACTATTTACTTCTAAAATTTTCTCACTGTTCTCCACTGGTAGTGCAATAGATGGGAAGCAAAAAAAAATAATAATAATAATAATAAAATAAATGTGCTTTAGGAGAGAGAGAGAGAGAATGAATGTACCTCATTGCAGAATCGAAAGAAGCCCATCCATTGATCCATGTTAATAACCTTATAGTCACTTTGTAACTGCATACATAATACGAGCGAATAAGAACTTTATATTCTGCCTTTTGGACGAGAGGAAGATAGCAACTACGGGATTAAACAATCAATAACCCAAATAAATGAAATCCTACGCGAGAAAATTTTGATACTATACAATCTACACTTTCTACAGCATGTCTTTCAAATTACCTAGATGGCTACGGCTACCAGAAGAAATATGGTAAAGTCCCTTTTATCAACACTTGGCTAGAGAGAGGCAGGGCCATAACTCAATAACATACCTCTCTTATACGTGCTACTATTAAATATCTAGAATTAGAAGTACTATAAGGCAGTGCAGGAGTTAATTGCAGAGGCAAATAAGCCATGCCCATGGATAAATGTGGTAAATTAACAACAAACATGATGCTGCACTCACCTTCAAGTATTCAACAAACGCATTGACTTGGGAATGAAATTGAGACCCTAAAACAAGATCCAGCAACTCACATATGCTCTCTATGTCAATACTCTTTTGCTTCTCCTCTAAGAAAAATATCATGGAATAAAGAAAATGTAAAGGTCAAATTACAATAGAGAATAGAAGAAAATGAACCAAGCCTCAAGATTAAAACACACTAAACACAATTTGTTTACCTGTTAAACAATACTGAAATGCATAAGAATAGAAGTCCCCAAAGTTTGATGGCCTCCTTACCTTCTCAAAATGTGAGGAATCGATAATCAAAAAACTTTAAGCAGGAAAGTTAAGCAATTTGCACCAACTATATTTGCTTCTTTATTTTGGAAATTTTAACAGGACACGTATTGTACCTCTTTCTCCAGATCTGGTAGCGCCTTCTTTAGTTTACTAACAGTGTCAGCCCTCAGGGATTTGAGGCCTCTTCGCCATTCTTCCTATCAAATATGCAATAGGTTAGATTCTATCAAATAAATTTACCGAAAAGAGGGTAGAAGGGACTAAATGCTTCATCTTGTCATCACAGAGCAATTACGAATAGATAATAAGATGGGCCATCATGCAAAGAGAATGAAGAGTAAAGTAAACAAGAGAGGAAAAGAAAATATATAAAGAATTTATAAATCTTGTCAACAGAAGTTTCTGAATAAATTGGAGCTGGGGAACATAAATGATATAGGTAAAATATACTCTTCATGGATTACCATACTAAATAGATAATAGAGATGAAAGGATTAAATGATGTAGAATGCAGAAAATAAAAGGACAGAAATACTAGAAAGAAGATCTGCCATATAATTTATAATATTCCGAGGCCCACAAGAGAGTAAATATTCTTACCAGGTTAAAGTATCCTTGTTTTTCAGATTTCATTTTCCTAGTATGTGCAATCCATTAGTTTCTGGGCAATGAGGTATATACACAAACATATTGAGCTATTATATCAATCCAAGTACAACTTACCATGCAAGCATTAAGATCCTCACATCAGTGTGATTCACTTCCATGTCTGAACAAAGAGTTTCAATTCCTTCTGGACTGTTACAGAAATAGTCAGTACTGCATACCATACATATTTTATGTATACAAGTATTTAGAAATCTCCTTAAAGATAAGGAAAACAACATCCTTGATCATAAAAGGAAAATGGATGGAAATTTTTGAAGTAGAAGGATACTGTTATACAAGAGTAAGGCATGAGACATCAACCATAAAAAGAAAACAGATTCATTACTTAACTTGAATGTTTCTTGGAATTTAAACAGTATAATACTGAATAAAGAAAATATTGGTACAACGCAAAACTAACTAGCAATGTTGAAAATTGAGATACTTCCATGGACCAAAAGTTTACTTACTCGATCAAACCAGAAGAGCTATTGGCATATGAATAATATAGACTATCAATCCGTTCCAACTCTTTTGTGCTCGCTCTACTTGAGGCTGAATAAATTTAGAATATTAAGTTCATGAGAATTGACACATTATAATTTTACCCAAAAAAAAAAAACCACTCAAGCAATATAATAAATAACAAAATATCAGCAGATGATGAAGTTTATTCCAGCAAGACTGAACAAAATGTAAAGAGGGGCTTCCATATCCCCAGTCCCCACAGCAAAGTTTACTACCCAATTAAATTTGAAAATTCGTAAAAACAAAGAATAAAAGTAGTTTGCATGTTGGGAGCCTTTTGCTTTCAATCTCTAACTCTACAACTCCTGCCTTTTGCTTTAGTGATATCGACTCGCTCGATGTCATCTTGAATTAACTCTTACTGGTGCTTAAGTACACGTATGTAACAATCTGTATAATAAGCTCGAAATTTCCAAATTTGATAGCCGTCAAATAATCAACCAAATACTAGAGCTATTCATCCCACTGAAATCTCACTCTATTTAAAGACTAACTAAAGCATTAGCATAGCAAGATGCTAACATAACATCCAAAAATGATAAAAATCTCCTTAGACAAAGGCATCGTGGGAGTAATTGATCAAAATTAAACCATGCACATGGCGACGGCAAGCAACAAACCAAGATATATACATAACACGATGATCGATTTCCATGGTGAGAATTCCAAGTAGAAGAATTCGAATTGTGGAAAGAAAAAAAAAAGGATCAGGTACCGGAACGAAAGAGATCCACTGCGGAAGAATTAACGGAAGTTGAATTGGGTTGACCGGTTTTCCTCGTAGCAGAGCGCCGCATCTTCTTCTTCTTCTTCTTCTTCTTCTTCTTCTTCTTCTTCAACAATCGGATTGCTACAGAGGAGATAAGAAGAGAAAAGCAAGAAGAAGATTGTTTTTTGTCGCACCAAATTGAAGAAGAGGAAAAAAAAAAGCGTATAACTTCGGCTTTCCTCTTCTAATTTTCCTTTCCCTTTATTTTGTCCAAATATATTTTATAGGTTTAGATTTTATTTGATTCGATTTTTAATGAACTTTATTTTATCTTCATTCCTAATCCTATTCCTACCCTTTCAAGTATTCCAAAAATAAATAAATCTGATTTAATTCGGAATAAATAATAAAATAAATATGTACATTTTAATATAGCGTAAATTTTAAAATTTTACAAAAATATCCCAATTCAAAATTAGAATTTTTGGTTGTGGGCATGCTGGGTTGATTGAAATTATTGTATTGACGTTGCAAATATGAACTGTTTTGGTTGTGAGGTGCTGGTATTGGTGTTTGATTCAACTTATTGAATCAAGTTCTTCGACTCCTAAAACAACTTTATTTATTGTCTAATCAACCTCTATACTTTTAATGTTTTTCTGCGAGGATTCATAGTAATATTTTCGATATTTGAGTTTTAAGAAAGGTTAGGTATTATAGGTTGTGGATAAAAACTATATGTATTACAAATATTAGGAAGGGTTGGGTTAGGTAGGGTTGTTCAATGCATTTGGTTCCATCGGTAACTGAACTAAAGGTTGGTCCATAAGACCGGTACGCCCTTAATTAGTTCTACTAGAAAAATATATAATCTTTAAGTATTTAATTATGATATCTTCGAATTCATAAATATTTTTTTTAGATAAAAAATTTGCTTATACATATCAGACATAAAAGAAGTAAGGTTGGGTAGAGGGTACCCCACCCTAGAGCTACACAAAAGCTTTCCAATTGTTTATGACCATGGAAAAGTTGTAGTTATGAAATAATTTCTTATAATTGATGCACTACCAAGAAGCAGTGTACTATATATTCCTACAAAAAAATATCAAAAGAAGAAAGTTTATACTAAAAAACACGGGAGTTCCTTTCCAACCATAGATGCCATAAGAGAGCTCTCGAAGCACAGTTCCACAAAAACTTAGCCTTCTTAGGAAGGTTCCACTTGTGAAGGATCTCAAGAAGCCATCCGTCAATTTGTTTAGGGAAACAAATTGACATACTGAACAAATCTAAGAGAAAGTGCCAACCTCACGCGACGAAATGACAGTGAATGAAGATATGGTCAAGGTTTTCACTGTTTTTCAAACAAAGGCGGCAAACCGAGGGCGAGAGCATCCAATTGATGCATTTCTTTTGAAGCATTTCATTAGTATTCAAACTTCTGTGTGCTAAGGACCAAAGAAACGCCTTGACCTTCTTTAGAGTAGAAAACTTCCGAATTGCCGGAATGAGAGAGGACTTCAAAGAGGGGTTGCAATCTACCATCTTCAAACAAGCATAGCGAGTACTAGTAGAGAACGTCACCCTACCTAAAGACTAGCCAACCCGATTCTTCCTTTCTCCCAGCCGCACCACATCAATTGCATAAATAAGTTCCATCCAAAAATCAAAGAGGACTCTGAGAAATACTAGATCCCATCATTCTAGTTACCATTCCAACAATCCYTTGAACTCAGAAATATGATACATTTTTGTAAATGTCAAAAAAAAAAAAAAACAGTAAGTAAGAATGAAAGAAAGAAGCCAAGGTAGAAATGTAATATTGTCAAAATAATCTATCCGCTTTCAGAACTATACTGTCTGGAAGCCCTTAAGCCCACAAACTGCAAAAAAATCTCCAACTCCATTCTTCTTCTCACTAATAAAAAATCTCTACAAAACCCCTACAATTACAACCCGTCTTTGCTCAATGGATACAAAACACYCATGCTTTGTTTCTCTCTTCATTTTCGGATTCCTATCTAATGACCCGGGATGTAATCCGGGACGTGAAGAATAAAAAAAATAAAAATTTTTTCTTTGCTTTATTTTGAAATGTTCTTAAAATTTTATCTATTCCATATCTTTCCTCGACTATAAAAAAAAATACCTTTCTTCTCATTATTCTTCCCCTTGAACCTCGAACTCCATCTCAACTGAAGGTAATCTACTTTCGGAATCTCTCTCTGTCGTTTAATGTTGTTGGCAGAGAATGTATCACTGTACTTTTGCAAATCTGTTGATGTCGGCGTTGTGAATCTTTCAGGTAGCTCCGAATGGAACCCAACCCTAATAAATCGTTCGAGGTAAGGAACTTTTGATGTCTACTTCGTGTGTTGCAGATTTTGGATTTCGGCTCAATTTGTAAACCAACTCGACGCCCGAAGTTGACATGGTTTAGTCAGTTTTAATCCGAAGGCCAATCACTTGGTTGCGACTTCATGGGATAATCAGGTCCTTTTCTTTCATCCCTCTATTTTTTCTCTTTTTTATGTTGTGCTTTTACTTGCTTTTTTCTTTTCCAGTTCAGGGTTTACTTTTACGAGAATAAGGAAGATTTGCACACTATTTTTAATTGCTCTTTTGGAAGTTGAACAAATTAGACTAGAGAATGTCAAATTGATATATAGCATTCGAGGTTTGCAAGTTTATTCTATAGTTACATGTTTAATGGTTTCTGCAGGTTCGTTGTTGGGAAATAATGCAAAATGCGGGTAATATTGCCAGTACTCTTAAGGCTTCAATATCTCATGGTCATCCGGTACGTTACAGTTTATTTTTGCTTTTTTGGTTTATTAGAATTTGTTTCCGTAATATCCAAGGCTCTCAAAAGCCATATTGCATTTTACTTTTCTGCTTAGGTTTTATGCTCGGCACGGAAGGATGATGGAACAACGGTCTTTTCTGGAGGCTGTGACAATCAAGTTAAAATGTGGCCCTTACTGTCAGGTGGTCAAGCCATGACTGTGGCCATGCATGAAGCACCCGTTAAAGAGGTTGCTTGGATCCCTGAGATGAGCCTGCTGGTCTCTGGAAGCTGGGACAAGACATTAAAGTAAACACTTATTTGTTGATTCTTAAGTTTATTTCAAAGAAATTGAACACGTATCTTGTGACACTCATATATTCTCTGCAATATGAGTGAAATAGTTTCAAAATTATAATTTTTTCGTTATTGTGGAGCATGAAAAACATCCTAGGAGTCAGGTTCACACCATTTGTCTCTCTAGCAAGCTTTTGTGTTGTTTCATTTATTTCTGTGGGCATGTGTTTGTTCAAACTAAGGCATGCGTAAGTAAAAGATGTGGCTCTGCTGTTTAGGGGTATGCTTGTTTGATGGTATGAGTAGTAATTTTTTCATTTGAAGTGTTGCCATCACGACTCACCATGAGTTGATGTAGCATTGCTCCTTTATTTTTTCCTCAAATGGTTTTATTGTGATATATTTCACCCTAAGATGAATTATGAATAAGAGGGTGTGTTTTGTTTTAAAATGTATTTAAGCGCGAGCTTTCTCCGTGTTGAATCTTTTTAATCAGTGAGATTCATCTCACCTTGAAGGAAGATGTAGCTTAAAATAAGTGGGTTCATATCAATGTAGCTCCTAACTCTTTCTCTCTCTCGCTCTCTCTTATTTTTAGCATTTGTTCTTCGTTTGATATGATTGAACTTTCATATGTCAGTCCCCAATTGATAAGATGACTAAACGTGCCCTTTGAAGACAGACAATATGTCATTTTCTGCTCTTGCATGTTCACCCTTTGCCATTTATTTGTCTACCATAACACGTGGAAAAGTAATCGTATATCATGGTAGATTACCTATGTTTTCTAATTATGATTAAATTCTTTTTTATGGATTTTCCATCAGTTTAGGTATTGGGGTACAAGGCAGCCAAATCCAGTGCATACACTACAACTTCCTGATCGCTGTTATTCGATGACAGTAAGATATCCATTGATGGTAGTTGGTGCTACAGATAGAAACTTGATAGTATTTAACTTGCATAGTCCACAGGTATGGTTTTCTTTCTTTCGTGTCGCTTTGTTTTTAAATTTTTTTTATTTTATTTTATTTTTTATTTATTTTTATCTTTCATATTTCAAGTCTAATACTATTAAGTGTTGACAGAATGAATTTAAGAGAATTGTTTCACCTTTGAAGTATCAGACAAGGTGTGTAGCTGCCTTTCCCGATCAGCAAGGTTTCTTGGTAATATTTCCATCCCTTTCTCTGTTTTCATTTGTTCATATGTTTACTTTCTTTCAACTTCAAGTATAAATCTTATGCATATATCTCGATGATATTTTGGTTACTACTTGAAGGTTCTTATTTATTTACTATCTTTCAGATGTTCTCAATGACTGAAACTGTTTGATTCCTTGTTGATCATATTGTGAGATTGCTTAATCTGATTTCATTAACCATTTCAGCTTGGTTCAATAGAGGAAGGGTTGGTGTTCATCATCTTGACAAGTCTTTGGCGAATAAAAATTTCACTTTCAGGTGCCACAGGGAAGGATCAGAGATATATTCTGTCAACTCCTTGAACTTTCATCCAGTAAGTTTGAATGGATTACTTATTTATTTATTGAAGCTTCAAAAATCCAAGAAACTCCAAAACCTTTGACACATAATCCCAACATTTTATGCTAAAAGAACTTTGGAAGAACATAGTAGAGAGGTCTTCCCTAGCTTTTGAACACAGCATACACACATTCAGATTTCAAGCCCAATTAGGACCACGTTTTTTAAGCCTATCATATATGCTTCCACCCTTCCAAAAATAGTACCTAAACTAAGAAAACCTTTCTTGGTCTTTTCATCTTACCCAATGAACTTACCACTTCCTTCGAGATCAAGGGAGACCTTCCAATCCTTTTACCATGGGTTTAACAATAAACATATGTTGGTGGAGTTCAATTTCTAGATTTTTCTATCCTCCTTCAATCACGACGTGTGCCATTAATTAGCTGCAAAGGTTACAAGCTGCCTTCACTTCCTCATCTCTAACATTTCTTTTAGTAATGATCTTAATATTGCATCATGGAAAGCTTGAACAACCTGATTTTTTAGTTTTGGTAAACCACCCAGAATCTTCTTTTCCATGAGTTCTAGCTATCACTTCGTGGCGTTGCTCATTTGGTTTTCTAGGAAATCTCCTAAGCCATTTGGCCAATTGAAGCTTTCTTCTTCTTTTATAGATTTTGACTCCCAAACTGTCACTACACAAAGGCTTAGCAATCATGTTCTAACCAGCTAATTGCTTAACCTTTTCTCTTCATTTCGACTCCAAAGAAATACACTTAATTTCTTTCAATTTCAATAACAACATTTCTTGGCATTTGGAAAATGGTCATATTCTGCATTACCAAAGACCACCTTCCCCCTTAGACAAGCAAAAATTGTTCCATATGTGAACTTTTCTTCCGGTTTTTTCCTATAATAGGAGTTCATGCTTACAATTTGGAGTTCTCCCTAATAATCTTCTGGGGTGGTTATTTTTATGACGGACAAGGATATTTCCTGATCCATGCGCACTTGGGGTGGTTATTTTTCAAATTAGGTGATTATCTGCTGCCAATATCCTTACTCTACTGAATTTTGACTCATGATTCTTTAAACTTTTTGTTATTTATTGTGTTGCACTCTCGTTCAGGTGCATCACATATTGCAACTGCAGGGTCGGATGGTGCTTTTCATTTCTGGGACAAGGATAACAAAAAGAGGCTGAAGGTGCCTTCAGATCCTTATTAGTTTTTTAACTGCTTAATCCTCTGTCTTCTTCAAGATTATAAAATAGCTTGGTGGTTGCGTAGGAACTACAAGTCTATGCTTATAAACAACTTTATAACACAGAAAGCTTGTTTGGTGGGATAATGTTTTAAAACAAGTTCCATGTAAGTTTTTGGCTCAATTAAGTCTTTTGATAACTTAACATTCATGGCCAGTTAGTTTCTGATCTAAGTTTCATGACCATAGATCAAGATGTTAATTTATGACAAGATTAAGTTGAGTAAAAAATATAACTTAATGCACCGATGTACTCGAATAGTTGAATTAGATGGAACTGTGTTTTTATTTAATCTTTTTGTGGAGGTTGGCAGATGTTGGAGTTGGAGGTATTGCGAGTATAAAGTTCTATAATATCAGAAAGAGGGAGAAAAGGAAAAAGAAAAAAAATTGCAAAATACAACTTATTTTAGTTTTACAGTTAGTTCTAGTATAGTATATAATAGGTAGTAAAAAGATTAAAAAGGCAAAATTTCTACTTCTATCCCTCAACACAGAGCTCTAGAAAATATATATCTCACGCTCACCTTCACTGTCCTATGTAAGTGTGATTTTTATGTGGCAGGTAACGCGTCTGAAAAATATTTAGACGATTATTCTTAATGAATAATGGATGGTTATCTTTTTTGCTTTCCAGTCCAGTTTACGGTGCAGTCAGCCCATAACTTGGAGCACTTTCAACCAGGATGGTTCAATTTTTGCATATGCAGTACGTATCATCCTGAATATGTTTATTTTTTACTTATTGCTGATGCTCGCTTCTTTAGTTTTGCCACCGCCACTTTTAATCAGGATGGTTCTTTTGCATATTCAKTACGTAGTTATCTTGAATATGTTTCTTTTTTTCTTATTKCTGATGCTCGCTTCTTTAGTTTTGCCACCACCTAACCCTTAAAGGTTACATGAGTGAGCACCTATCATAAACCGTTATTTCCAACGTGTATAATGTATAAAAATTATTCATTATCTAATTTTGTCACCCTCTCTCTATTGGCCTTACTCCAGTCATCATTCTGAACTCTTGCCTCGTCTAGGACACACGTAAAAGTGGTTGTTGTTCAGCTTGTGACTACTTACTACTATGATTGCGTGATCACATAGGGAATAAAGAATGCCCTTATTCTCTTACATATATAAACTTATAAAGTGTTTTAAGTGTTACAAACTAGTTGAAAAACCATTCAGAAAGTTTCCTAATTCAGAGTTGGATATAGGGAAGGGCTCTTGAATTTCTTCATTATCCTGTAAGCTTTTTCTTTATTTCACTCCAATCCATCTCTTTCGATCCTATCACATTGTTATATCTGCTATTTTGATTCCAAACTGTGGGAATCCTTCTGTTCATAACTTCTATTTCATTTCTTTTTTGTTAGTTTCAAGAAATTCTTTCTTTTTCGAGAGAATTAAGGTTTATAAAAAGTCTTCCAATCCTACCACATTGGTGTGACTGCTAGTTTGATTCCAAACCGTGGGAATCCTTCTGTCCATAACTTTTCTTGGTTTCTTTTTTGTTAGTTTTGAGAAATATATTGACCAATTCCAATTCCTTTCTTTTTCAAAAGAATTAAGGCTTTAAAAAAGGTGGGAAGTTTGTTCTTTTGAAGTAAGCTGAACTCGTGACATGTGGGATTTATACAGGTGTGTTACGATTGGAGCAAGGGAGCAGAAAATTACAACCCTGCAACAGCAAAAACCTACATTTACTTACACCTGCCACAGGTACATGATGTCCATAATTTTGATAAATTTGTGTACTTGCTTAGCATGTTGTTGCAGGTAAATTACTGAGAATTTTCTCTTTTTGATGTAATGTAGGAGTCTGAGGTTAAACCCCAGCCCCAGGCCACCGCCGGGGGCGGCAGGAAGTAACAATATTCTTCCATCAAATTCTAAGAAAATTCACTGTAAATTCGACAACATTCTTTTGTTTTTCTTCGGATGTGTCTTATTTTATCTTGTCAATTACTAATAAATTAACTAGGATAGAAATTGTAGGCTACAAATATGACTTAGTTTTAGTTTAGAGCGTAATGCACCATGTTTTGTATGACTTCAAATACTGAGTTTTCAAATACATATGATTTATAATTGTGTTTCTTTTGATTTTACTTTTCCTTGTAGCTAAGAGATTTCTATTTTTTACCAAGTTGATCACTAATGGTGATGATTTTCTTTGAGGTTGGACGATTTAAATTTGGAGAATGGATGGAGTCAGACTTTTAATTCTATTAAAATTATAATGTTGTAGAGTGCTGACATGAATTCTGAACATCTTTAAAATTTGTAATGATTAATTACAGTTCCTTTCAAAAGAAGAAAAAATTACTCACAGTTACTTTTTAAATAGAGTAATGATTTAGTTAAATATTATTTTGATTTTTAGATTTGTTTATTTTGGTACCTTTATTTTCAAAACGTTCTTATTATTATTATTATTTTGTTATTTTACTATTTTTGAAACGTTTATTTTGATGCATGTATTTTTAAATGTCAACAATTTTAAAAAATTAAGGGAGGTAAGAAGTCAAATAGGTTCATACATGAAAATATTTGAAAGTAAGATGATTTCAAGATATTCTTGGTGATTTATTTATTGTACTTTAAAATTGGTAACAATTTAGTTACTTAATTTTAATATGTAATAATTTAGTTTCTATAGTTTAAAAGTTTGTAACAATTTAATCTTACCGTTAAAATTTTTGTCAAAATTAAGTATCGGCTTGTATCTTTTAACAATTTAGTTTTTGTAATTTATAAACACATTTGATGTTTTATCGTTTTATCAATCTAAATGTATAAGAAAGTTAACAAAATTTTAACGATAGAGACTAAGTCGTTACAAATTTAAAATTACAAGGACTAAATTGTTACATACTCTAGTTTGAGAACGAAATTAAAAATTTAGGGACTAGTTCAGGGATTAAATCTTACTGAAAAGAAAATACAGGGACCAAAAATATTTTTTAACCCATATAATTTTTTCCTCTAATTTGTGCATGCTAGTTGATGAAATATAATACCTTTGTTAGTTGAGTTACAACTAAATTTGAACGTTTTATTAAAACGTACTAAGTTTGAACTTTTTAGATGCATGATTAAGTGAAGGACTTATTAATAGTCATTCATACAAGTCTTTAACTTGATTTTTTAAGAGAGTATTAACTTAATTACTCTGTCAAAACTTTTTCAAGTTTCTATAACCATTCTTAAATTTAATTTGTTATAGTAAAAAACACAGAGCTGTAAAGTGAACCAAAACAAAGAAGAAGAAAAAAGAGAATGAAATTGAAAACATATAATCACTTCTTATGTTATACAAATATACCTCACATTTGTTGCATGCTTTGTTAGATTAAGAGGTAACATTATTATTATTATACAAATATAAAGTCAAAATTGGAAGCTAAATAAAGCATATCTATGTGCCTGTGAGTGAGATTCCACAAAGTAAAGAGCCAGCTGTGTGGTTTTTTTTTTTTTTTTTAATAATTATGTGAGATTGATGATTCAATTTAAGTTAAAGTTGAAGTTTGGATCCTCTCCCCTAGAACTAAAGTTTTTTTTCCCTTTAAATTGTGATTTTAAGGACATTAACTATAGATATTATAAACATCAAGTAATTAATTATTAGAATTTTGCTCACCCCTTTAATTTGTTTGGGTGACCTCGAACATATGATAATATAATCCTTGTTGTTAAATAATGATCATGTAGCATACCACCTCAGGACATATATTCATGTTAAAAAAAAACTCGAACAATTTAGTCCTTATATATTTTCGTTGAACTAATGATTTAGTTCATGAATTTTCAAATTGATAACAATTTAGTTCCTATAGTTTAAAATTTGTAGGAAATTTAATCTCCACCAAAGTGTCGAGACTTATTATATATAAGAATTTAGTATTTGTAATTTACAAGAAACCGTATCGAATCTTAACTATATTTTTCACTCGTTGCAAACTTTAAACTACACAAACTAAATTATTACATATTAAAGTTTAAATACTAACTTATAGTTTTACTAAATTAAAAGTACAATAACTAAGGCGTCATTTGGAAAGAAACAAAATTATTTTTAACCTAAATATAAAAATACCCCTTAAGCCTTCTCTCTCCTTCCTTAACCACCTAACAAAACTATAATATTACTCAAAAAGAAAAGAAAATAGAGTGGAAAAAGAAGGCCAAAAAAATGATGCACTATAAATTTCCACTATTCCCATTCACTTTGGTTGTGTAAAATTAAAGATGGCGAGACCTCAACACAAGTACAGAGGAGTCCGGCAGCGCCATTGGGGCTCTTGGGTCTCTGAGATTCGCCACCCTTTATTGTAATATTCTCTTTTCTTCTCCTAACAATTATGATTATTTAGTTACGTAACAATTTTATTTTTATTATATTTTAATCTTTGCTGGGAAGAATTTCGTCATTTAGTATGTAATGATCATTTTAAACAAACTTTTCAATACTATACATTTACGTGCATCTAACTAAATCGTTACCTATTCATATTTATGAGTAGAGTTGTTACCAATTTTAAACTACAGAAACTAAATTGTTTCGATTTAAAATGACACTAAAATAAGTTTTTCGACCTCTTTAGGAAGACAAGGATATGGCTGGGAACTTTTGAAACGGCTGAAGACGCCGCTCGAGCTTACGACGAAGCAGCCAGAATAATGTGTTGCCCTAATAATCTCTCCTCCAATCACAATGCGCCACCTCAGTACTCCTCGTCCGCATCGACGTTGGGGCCGGTGTCGAAGCTTCTCACTCCGACTTTGATCGATAAATTGGAGAAATGTCGAATGGCTTCCTTCCAAATGGCCAAAAAGAAACTCCCCACCAAAACGCACCTATCCGACCGGAGTCGCCGTCCGGCGGCGAAACTCGACGGCGGAGGAGTTCAATCGCCGGAGACTCAGGAGTTTCACCGGCTTGAAGACGACCACGTAGAGCAAATGATACAAGAGTTGCTTGATCTTGGCTCCTTTCACTTTTGCCCTAATAATAATATTGCTTCTTCAAATAATTAAAATAGATTAAGAAATAAATTTAGTGTTTTTCTTTTTCATTTTTTAAACTTCTTTTTTTTTTTTTGGAGTAATTACTCTTATAAAATATTAAATAGATTACTAATACTATATAAATAATTTTTTAAAAAAATTGTCAAAGTAAACATAGGTCAGTGGTAATTGGTAATATCTTCAACCAAGAGGTTATGAGTTTAATCACCCACTCCCACAACATCGTTATATGAAAATTTTCAATATATACATATATAAAACAATGGTCATCCATTTTCAATATATTTGATCAATACTCTTAAGATATGTAATATATATTTTATCCTCTTAAGTTAGGTTCAAATCGATGTAATTAATGTCTCTTAAAAAAAATCAACGTAATTAATGATCAAATGTGTATTACTTATCGAATAAGACTTAATTGAGAATAGAAATCAGTAGTACCTTACATTTAGGAAATATTGATATACAATTTTGTCTAAATTAGTTCCACGCCAATGTAATAATATAGTAGAAATTCTTATGCTGATAAAAGAAAGAAAAGTATATATATATAAAAAAAAGGAAGTGAAAAGAATTATTTCATTGGACAAAGTACACAATCTACGACCTTGGATCATGTGAAAGAAGAAATAAAAAAGACTATGAACAGGAGCTGAAAATAATATAAGATAAAAAAAAAGAAGAAAAAAAATGAATAAAGTAGGAGTGAGATCAAGCATGATCTAGACTAGACATGTATGTTTGTTTGTCTAGAAGAATATCACAACCAACTTTTAATATGTTTTGAAGCTATACCTAATAAATTAGTGGATCCGTCAATCTGGGCATGACTCAACTGATTAAAGTATCTAATTTTCGATCTCAATTGATTAAAGTATCTATCTCTGATTCGGACTGGATATGACTCAACTTATTAAAGTACCTAATTTCCGATCTCAATTGATTAAAATATCTATCTCTGATCCGTCAATCTGAACATGACTTAACTGATTAAAGTATCTAATTTATGACCTCAACTGATAATTAAAGTATCTATCTCCGATCAAAAAGTAGTGAGATCGAATCCCCACCCGACATGATGTATAAAAAAAACAAATTGATGGATCATAAATTACTAGAATTTATATAAAATTAAAAAAATCAGTAATTACTAACAAGTTAAATAATTATTTTATTATATTCTTTAGACATGTTTTATTGTTTAAAAAATAATTTTCATTTATTCCCCCGTGTTTTTTCCGTTTTTTTAGTTTAACAGATTATGGAGGGATCAGACTATCCATCTTTGGAACAATAAATAAGTGCTTTATCTATAATGTTTTTGGTAAAAAAATTTTAGGATATAGAAATATATAATCATGGAGGTGTAAATTAAAATTTTACCAATAGAGAAAGTGAATATGCATTTCTTTTTACAATTTGTGGTTTTCTTTTCCTCTTTAAATGAGAATACTGGTTTTTTAAGTCAAAACTATTTTGAGAAGAATACCATCTAAAATTTATTTTAAAAATTTGAGAATAGATTTTAACTCCCACATCTTGATTGTACATAATCTAAACACTTAGTCAAAACTAAACGAGAAAACTCAGGGTAGCTTTATTTCTCTAGTGTGGGGTCAAATTGAATATAATCAGGAAAACCAATATACATAAAGTACAAAACAAAAAATATTTATCTTCTATTTTCAACCGCATAATAGCTAAAAAATAGTCAATTTTAATGTAGAGAGCTATGCACACGGACCTGCAACTAGCATAGACTCTCAACAACGGTGCAAGACTTTCTGCCACCATATATCAACACTACAATACAAATGTTATAGTACAAATTAGTTAAGATATGTATCACAACCCAAAAAGTTGTGGATTCGAATATCTACCCTACTTGTCGTACTAAAAAAATCATAAGTAATTTTCAACACTATCATTATAAATTTAACCATACAGTTTTATTTTTCAAATAAAAGTTTAACATATGAAAGGTTGAAAATAGTAAATCAACAATTTATTTGATATAACAATATTGCATAAATGCGGCAGTATTTACCTGCAAGAAGAAGAATTGACTATTAGTTTTTATTTAAAAAAAAATGTCACTGCACAAAATAAATTTTTACCCAAAAGAGAATCTTAAAATTTTCTATTTACAAGTATGGAAAAATGGAATTTTATGAAGCACTTGATGACAACCCATATAAAAACAAGTGAAAATGATATAGATAGAATGAGTATGTGGGTCAAAAATGNTCCCTTATCAAAATGAGGAAAAAAAAAACAAAGGAAAAGAAAAGAAAGGGATGTAAGTGAGAAAACAAAATGAGAATGTTTTGAAAGTGAAATTATAATCATTATGATATTTTCCCAAACCTCATTCATATTTTGAACCGCTAAATACCCGTTAAGTAGTACCATGAGGGACATATGAAAAGAAAAGGAGTGAAATAGAACATGAAACCGTAGGACTCGTTTGATAACATTCCCGTTTTCTGTTTCTTATTCCTGTTTCTCATTTTTTGAGAAATAGACATGCTTGAAATCTTGTTTCTTGTTTTTAAAATGTGAGAAACGTTTCTAAAAAAGGGATCGATTTTTGGAAACTACAAAAATAATTTCGTTCTTGTCATTTCTGTTTCTGTGTGAGGCACTATTTGAATACAATTTATTTGGTGCGGCAAATTTCATTCCACCACGTCGTGGCTGACTGGTGCTAAAGAGGTCTAAAAATCCATGTGCAAATTGTTCGATTGTTAACCTATGCCTTTTTTTTTTAATTTAAAACCTTTTGAAAATTTATTCTTTTATTTAAAGTTATTATATATTTTCTTAAAACAAAAAATTTCTATTTTCCAGTTAAAAATGTTTTGAAATTTTATTTTTTATTAAGCTAATAATTTATATTTTTATATGAAGAAATTTATATTGTAAATTATATTTTCTTGGATAAATTATATTCTCCGAGTATATTTTATGTTTACTAAATTTTATTTTAACTAAAAATAAAAATAAGTCAACTTTAATTAAAGATATATATTCTCGGTCAGAGTTTGTGAGTTCGAATCTCGACTCTCACAAGTTGTTGTACTAAAACAAATTAAAAATGGAAACAAGGAACATGAAAGAGTTATCAAACATATTTTTGTTTCTATTATTTTATTCAAGAAACAAAAAACAAAAATGATTATCAAACATATCCCCGTTTCTAATTCTAAAAAAAATAGAAACAAGAAACATGAAACAAAAAACAAGAAACGAGAACGTTACCAAACGTGCCCGTAATATTCAATGTAATAAAAGAAATGAGGGAAGCTACAATAGAAAAATATTGACAGGAAAAATACTTCGAAAACAACTTGTTCCGGCGTTCGTAGCACAAGACTTTACTACTTTAGCTGCGTTATATACCCATCACTCATGTCATACTCCTTGAAAAAGCTCGAACGGCCTTCAACAAAAGGGTATTTGTACCCAAAACCGACACCTCTAGGTAGTACAAAGTCAACCTCTTCCATAGATGGGTTGACTGTGAGTTTTTTAAAAAATGACTTAATGCCCCCATATCCGAATCCCGCGAGTGACTAAGCGCAAGACGAGCCATAACCATAACGGGCAAATTGACCACAACTAAGGTCTAAAATGTCAATGTGGATGGAAATATCGACGTCTCAATTTCATGAAAATATTGATAAAATGTTGATGTCGATGGATATTTCTGTAAAATTTAGAGAAATTAAAAATAAAAATAAATATTTAAATTAACAAATAAACATCTTTCCATTTTTAAATAAATTTAAAATTATTAATATTAATATTAGGTATATATTAGTGACATTTTATTGATTTATCCCTGATGTCGATGCCAAACTCATAGATACATAAACATGTCGATGAAAATACAACGTATCAACGAATATTTAATACCATGACTACAACTCATATATAAAGAATCAACCAACTTTTTTATATGTCTGGTAATCTCAATTAGAGATGAATATTAAGGTCCAAATTAGTGATATTTTATTTTTATATATATGTTTTTTTTATGATATAATAGAAATGTCAGATTCTTGATATTGAACGCTTATGGACATATATGAAGTTATTGTTAATAGAAATATCTAATAAGTCGATAGAATTTTAATACGTACAATTTCTCGATCCGTAGGTTCGAATCTCAAAACCAAGTCCTTAAAAATCTTCCATTATTACCCTATACAACTTCTTGTTAATTTTTTAGATTAATTTGTGATCCTTTTAATTAAGCAATAATAATGTGGGTGAATTAAAGTTGTGTGCATGGGAGTGGAGACCATCAATTACCATACAAATTCCAACAAAATTAAGACCCACACCTTCCCCTTTTTTGCTTCATAATTGGCTTCTATTTTTATTTTTATTTTTATATTCATGTAATTATATATGCTCTTCCCCCATCAATATTCCACAATAAAATAAAATAAAAACTCATCAATAATGATGATTTGTACATGTGAAATTGATTGTGTTCCCCATTACAATTTCTATATGCCTCTTAAGTTTGATTTGATTTATCTGAAAAAAAAAAGAAGATTTGATTTTATATTTTACATCTAGAAATCATCATTTCTTAATTTATTACTATTAGTTTGCCAAAGATGGAGATATGTTCATAAGTATTATTATTTCTTGTTCTTATTTTTCATATCTTTTGGTTTTAGTTTTTAGGATGTATTTGATACAATATTATTGTTTTTCTGTGTTTTTGGATTTGGAATTTTGAGAAATATGTGCACATGATAATATTATAGGGTGCCTCATTAATAAAATTAACAAAATGCCTTAATTTATCTACTCCATTATCGTTCGAATTTGTAAAATTTAACTATAAAACCAAATGAGTAAATATTATTATTAAATACCTTATATTTTATCGTTAAGATGGTTAAACAGTAAAAAAATTATGCACGTGTGAAGAGAGAAAGAAGCATTCATCTTCTTCAAAAGAAATAGCCAGCTTTTCTTTCTTTCTGTTTTTCCTTTTTTTTTTTTTTTGAGTTAATTGAATTGTGTTGTTGGTTGGTGGGAATTTAAGTGAGTTTAATATCCCATATTAAGTTATTAAAATCTGGATTTACGTAATTTGCAATTTGTTTGTCAATTTTTTATTTATAAAATTTAACATGTAGTATAAAATACGAGTTTCGTAAATTTAGAGTTGTGTAGTTTGGTAAAACCAAAAAAAAAAAAATTACAAATCAAATATAAGCCCGACTTCCTAACTTCAAGTATACAAGTATAAGTCTAACATTTTAACTAAACAATTTTTTTTAGTACAGAACAAATTTTACCACATTACCTAATAAATTAATATAATGAGACATCGTTCTTGTAACGTCCCAAGTCCAGAATTCAGGATCCGGATTCTAGCACCTCTCTGCCCCGACATCCCCTGCGACCCGATCGCGTCACCGTCTAGTTCTGAACTACTTAGAAGAGCGTAGTTCTTTCAACAAACTTTGTCCTCACTTATATGCTTCCTAGTAAAGCAACTAGGAGGTCACCTAGCCGAAAATTGCTCCAGGTCAAACACGCTTAACTTTGGAGTTCTTACGATTGAATTATCGAAAAGGAAAAGGAAGGTGCACATTGTTAGTATAGGTTAACTATTATTTCTTTTAAGTTTTCTTAACCATACTTTCTATAGTCTCAGGATCCCTCTCATTCGGATGTGGTATCGATTCATTCTAGTCGGGCGTTACATTTCTCTAATTTAATACTTTGCTATGTTAGTAAATTTAAAAACTAGTACTAATGTCTAAACCTCAAATTCTAGGTAATGATGACAAATATTTCCTAAGTATTTGAATCAATGCTTTGTTTGTCACTGTTTTTCTACGACAAACAAAACACAATATACTGAAGAAAATCAAATTATAATTAATTGTGAATTAGTGAATTTTACTCCTAAAAAAATGAACGGTCCATGCAAATTACTTTTTAGATCCAACCATGTTTACTTTTTCATTCCTTAAAATCAATATAATGTCCAATATTAAAAAAAGGAAAAAAAAAAAGAGAGAAGAAGAAAATGACTTGCAATGCGTGCTCCAATCCACTAATTGATAATATTTTTCAATGATGAGTTTGAAAATTGTGTTCATGTGAATCATATTAGGGAAGATAGTGATAACCCATCATTTTGATCCTCTTTGCCTTTTTTTCATCCCCTATTTACTTTTCTTTCCCCCCTATATTGTATCAATGATTACAATGCTACTTTTTTTTCCCTTTTTTAAAATAAGCGAAAAAATTATAAAATTTGACTGATTGTCCATTTTCAGCCGTCCACCTGCATTTTGAAATTTAAATGGTCTATTTTTTAAATTAGAAATGACAGTAGTTTACCTTTCTCACCTCACTATTTATCTCTCCAACTACAAATAATTACAGATTCTAACCATGCGATGAATACCAAAATTTAATAAATATAATTAAAGTACACTTTAATAGCACTGATTTGAAGATGATTATTCGTTTTGCACAAATTACTAACAGATTACAGTGATCGTCTCAATAGGATACAACGACTAACTCCAATAGAATAGCAACTTCGAACTACTCGAATATAAGAGAACTTTTAGACATTTGCTTTCAACACAAAGAATAACAACACGGTAAAAGAATAAGGAATTATTGTGAGATGAGGAGAAAACTCAAATGAGGAATGTTGGGGCTTCTCAAATGAAGAAAACAAACAACTATATATAATTGTACATATATAAAACTCCTCACATATAAATTAACTTCAACTTTAACAAACTGAATAAAAAATTCTCCATTTAAAATATAACTTCAACTTCAAGTTGCTAAAAAAAGTGTAAATTCAGCACAAAAATAAAACAAAAATGACAGAAAAAAATAAAAATTTGTTACACAATGTAAAAATAACATTCATATAACATATATGTGAATGAATTTATCAAATAGTTAAACAACTATATTCAAATTCTTAATACACGAATTTAATCTTCGAAACGTTAAATTCGTATACTCAATTGGTTTTCAATATTTTTAAGTTTTACTTTCTCTCGCATATTAAAAATTCAAGAAAGTTTGGTTTTTAAAGTTTTTGAAAAATAACGATTGAGCCTTAGAATTTTACAAAATAGTTATATTTGATCCTTGATGTTACTTTCTTCTTTTTTTTTTCTTTTTTGGTTAGCTACACGGCCCACATGGATCGTACCGTGTTGAATGTTTTTTACTAATCTATATTATATTATCAATATTGATATGATGCTAAAGTAAACACAATTCAGTGATAATTGACATATAATTATGAACTAAAAAATTAAATACTCCATTTAAGAACTCTACCTGTTGGGCTCTTAAGGTATGCATTGGAAGTGTTTGAAGGGAGAATTATCACATAGACTTGCTTTTCGCCTGAAACCGACAAAAATAGATAAAAATTCTTAATTAAATTAATACTATGATCTAATTTTTACTATTAAAAGTGTGTGGAGGCCACGGTAACAATATTACAGCTTTAAAACATAATAAGCATTTTATATATTAGAGATTTAATGGGGTAAATATTTGAGTGATTTTAATGGTTATTAGAAGCATGATAATGAGTAGACAAATAATTATTTATGACTATTAATTGATTTCTTTTTTTCTTATAATTGTGAAGAAAATAGTTATTATTGGGAAAAAAAAAGTTTATAGAAATTTTGCCATCTTAAGATTGTCTCTTAAAACTATTAAGAAAACGATATACAAATGCATTTTTCATATTAAGTTTACGAACTCAAATCCAACTGGTCCCTAGTGGACTGTATGGGCTATTTAATGGGCCCATTTCATCAAAAGCCCAATGGAAAAAGGCCTTAAGCGGCAGAGAACACGGGTACGTAAATTGTCTGTTGTTTCAAAAATTGATATCTCAATTTAAAAACTAAATTCAAATTGGAAGTTTTCAAAATTGCTCATTTTTAAATTCATTTGAAAATAATACTAATTCGAAACTTATTTAAAAAATAATAGTTTGGAAATATCTCTGGTAGGCCACCAAATTCACTTCAATAGTAGGTTGTGCCACCAAATTCACTTCAACAGTAGGTTGTCTCTTGAAGAGACGGCATGCAGCATCGGCTCTAAAAAAAATTGATATGTCATCTTTCCAAGAAACAACATATAATGTCATGTTGTTGAAGTAGTCTCGTTGGCGGAAGTGATTTTAAAAATTCAAATACCAAATAAAAATGAAGACCAAATTTCAAACTTCAAATTTTAGTAAATCTTATTATCATTTATTAGAAAATGTAATTATTTTTTAGTTTAAGGGTTCGAACCGCTAACCTAATAATGCTTATCTTAGTTTAAAATATGTAATTTTAGATCATTTAATAAAGTAAAAAAATTATTTGAAATACAAGGGAAAAACAATTCAAGCTTAAAATTACTAATAATGTGACATGAGAATAATAAACAAGATCAAAATGTATTCTTAGAATTTGTGAATAATGCACCACTTGCCTTCTTCTATCAAATTCAAGCTAATGTTGAACTAGGGTTTGTCTCATTACCTGACATATATCGATATATGTCTAGACTATGTGTGATAAGTAATTAGTACATGATTTTTGTCATTTATATCTGTATCGATCGTCATAGAGTCGATCTTACATTCAACTAAGTTAACTCAATGACAGATTGAGCACTTTTGTGGAGGGAGTTTTGTTTAGAAATCTAACGAAATAAATAGAAAATTGTATGCGATGAAGTATGTAATACAGTATGTAATGTAATTGATAGCCCTTCTACAAATAAAGTACAAAATTACCCCTAAAAATTCAGAGCACTCCACTTGTAATTCAACCCGACCAAAACCAAGACAAAAGGAAACAATTAAAAATTCTAATGGATCCAAAATTTTCTTGACTAAATTAGTAATTTAACAAACCATAAAATAAAAAAAAAACGAGAGAAAAAAAAAATGAAAAAATGAAAAAATAAAATTGTTTTTCGGGGAAGAAGAGTGGGCCAGTGGTTGTTAACCAGAAGAGCGGGAGTAGAGGAAGAAGAATCAAAAGTCGCGCTCCTTCGTTCGTTTCCCCAAAATCTTCCCTATAAAACTCCACACTCTCCACACTCTCAATCATAACAAAGAAAATCCAAAAATATTTTCCCATTTCCCCCACCCACCGTTGGAAGGAACCCGGAGACGCTTGCTTCACTCTCATATGGGAAACTGAAAATTACGACATCACCAATCTTTTTGCCTTTTTTTTCTTTTTTTCTTTTTTTGTATAATCTAGTACATATTTTTCATCTTCCGATCCGTTCTGTATAGTATTCAAAATGACCGACATTAGCTTGGAAGAAATCAAGAATGAGAACATCGATCTTGTAAGTCGTTCTCCTTTCTCCTTCTTTTATTCTTTAACTGCTCTGCAAACTCTGGAGATTCCAATTTCTGTTCCTGTTTCGTTTACGATGTCCGAAATTAATTTTTATTCAAAAGCTGTTTTGTTGATTCAAACTACAGGATCATGTTTAATAGATTACTATTTGATAGATTATTGATGCAATGTATTAACTATTGGATACTATTCAATAATTTTTAAGTATACAATATCGAATTCGTGCACTAAAGAATTATAAATTATTATGTGATCATTTCTCTAAAGTGGGTTCAATATAGTTTTTTTGTTTTTCTCCAAAAACTATTTGTACGTTTTAAAATGCTTTGTCCTCAATATTTTAACATTGTTTGCAATAATTCAGAAGAAGAAAATCCTTTGAATTAACGAGAATTGTGAAGTTATTTTCATCTGATTTATTTTATGGCTGTGAACAGGAGCGCATACCAGTTCAGGAAGTGTTTGAACAACTGAAATGTTCCCGAGAAGGTTTGTCCTCGGAGGAGGGGCGCAAGAGGCTCCAACTCTTTGGCCCAAATAAGCTGGAAGAGAAAAAGGTCACTTAAACGAATTAGAAAACACACAATTTTCTCCACTTTTACCTTCAATTAGAAGAAAATGAAACTTACATTTTAAACTCTTCACAAACAGGAAAGTAAATTTCTCAAGTTTCTGGGCTTTATGTGGAATCCACTTTCGTGGGTTATGGAAGCAGCAGCTATCATGGCCATAGCTCTTGCCAATGGAGGGGTAACATCTCTCTTTCCCTCTATTTTCAAAGAAGAAAAAAATGAAAACCAAAGCTCTTGCTGAAACACTCGTGTTTCTCAATGGATTAAATGCACAGGGGCAACCACCGGATTGGCAAGATTTTGTGGGTATTACTGCGTTGCTTTTCATCAATTCTACAATCAGCTTTATAGAGGAAAACAATGCAGGCAATGCTGCAGCTGCACTTATGGCAGGACTTGCACCAAAAACAAAGGTATAAATTGGCTCATCATGATCGAGAGGAAACTACATGTTTGTTTTTGTAATATGAGTAGCTTTCTAATGATGGAGATTTGCCTTTGTTTATGGTAGGTCCTTCGTGATGGGAGATGGTGTGAGGAAGAGGCTGCAATCTTAGTTCCGGGAGATGTTATCAGTATTAAGTTGGGTGATATTGTTCCAGCAGATGCTCGTCTGTTGGATGGCGATCCGCTCAAGATTGATCAGTCTGCTCTTACTGGTGAGTCTTTGCCAGTTACAAAAAATGCTGGTGATGAAGTGTTTTCTGGTTCCACTGTCAAGCAAGGTGAGATCGAGGCTGTTGTTATCGCGACTGGTGTTCACACCTTCTTTGGAAAGGCTGCTCACTTGGTTGATAGCACAAATCAAGTGGGGCACTTCCAAAAGGTATTTAGCTTCAATTGAATAGCAGCATCTATTACAAGTTGAGAAATGGAAGCTTGAAGTGATGATTATGTTTCTTATGGTCTATTCATCCAGGTGTTGACTGCCATCGGAAACTTCTGCATTTGTTCGATCGCTCTGGGGATGGTGATAGAGTTAGTAGTGATGTATCCGATTCAACATCGTAGATATAGAGATGGGATTAACAATCTCTTGGTGCTTCTCATTGGGGGGATTCCAATTGCCATGCCAACAGTGTTGTCGGTCACGATGGCTATTGGTTCTCATAGGTTATCCCAGCAGGGTGCTATTACAAAGAGAATGACAGCCATTGAAGAGATGGCTGGCATGGATGTACTCTGCAGTGATAAGACTGGAACTCTAACTCTCAACAAGCTTACCGTAGACAAATCCATGATTGAGGTCACTAATTAACATTCATAAACAATTTATAAAAGATATCAGTGAGTATCAAGTCAGTCTCACGGCAATTGTATACTAAATTGCAGGTGTTTGTTAGAGATGTGGACAAAGATACTGTGGTTTTGCTTGGAGCTAGAGCTTCCAGGGTTGAAAATCAAGATGCTATTGATGCTTGCATCGTTGGGATGCTTGGTGATCCTAAGGAGGTATTATTTTAGCTTCCCTTTACCCATTTTTGTAATGTGAATCATTTAGTTCCTGAATTCTACAGCAAATAATTCATAGATGACATTCTGATGTGTTAACCTTTTCTATGATTACTTCACAGGCCAGGGATGGCATAAAAGAGGTTCATTTCTTGCCCTTTAACCCAGTAGACAAGCGTACAGCTATTACATATATTGACAATGATGGAAACTGGCATCGAGTTAGCAAAGGAGCACCAGAGCAGGTTATAAAATTAGTCAAGCTTACACATTTTTTTCCCTAGCTGTACTTCATATTTACACATTCAAAATTTGGACAGATTATCGAGCTTTGCGACCTCCGTGAAGATGTAAAGAAGAAGGCTCATTCTATCATTGACAAATTCGCCGATCGCGGTCTTCGTTCTCTTGCTGTTTGCAGACAGGTAACTATTTACTTTGTCCTAAAAATCTCATGATTGTATTCAGATGGCCAAACAAAAGACATCTAATGAGCCTGATTATGGGGAAATCTCTTTGCCACAGGCGGTTCCAGAGAAGACCAAAGAAAGTCCAGGAGGACCATGGCAATTTGTTGGTCTCTTGCCTCTCTTTGATCCTCCAAGGCATGACAGTGCAGAGACAATTCGAAGGGCTCTTCATCTTGGTGTCAATGTTAAGATGATCACTGGTGACCAACTGGCGATTGGGAAGGAAACTGGCCGTAGGCTTGGAATGGGCACAAACATGTACCCATCTTCCTCACTTCTTGGACAAAGCAAGGACGAGTCAATTGCTTCCTTACCTATTGATGAGCTTATTGAGAAGGCTGATGGATTTGCAGGAGTCTTCCCCGGTGAGCTGAATGACTAGACCCTAAACTTTTTATAATCTTAAGAATTTGAATTCATAATTAAATTTTCCATTACCCATCAACTTATGCTTGTGCCACTGCTGATGTTGTTAAATGCAGAGCACAAATATGAAATTGTGAAGAGGCTTCAAGATAGGAAGCATATTTGTGGTATGACAGGAGATGGTGTGAATGATGCCCCAGCTTTGAAGAAGGCAGACATAGGAATTGCAGTTGCTGATGCAACTGATGCTGCAAGAGGTGCTTCCGATATAGTCTTGACAGAGCCAGGGCTTAGCGTGATCGTGAGCGCCGTTTTAACAAGCAGAGCCATTTTCCAGAGAATGAAGAACTACACCATCTACGCCGTTTCCATTACCATCCGTATCGTCTTGGGTTTTATGCTTCTAGCTCTCATTTGGAAGTTCGACTTCTCACCTTTCATGGTTTTGATCATAGCCATTCTCAATGATGGCACCATCATGACCATCTCTAAAGACAGAGTGAAACCTTCCCCTCTTCCTGACTCGTGGAAGCTCCGGGAGATTTTTGCCACTGGCGTTGTCTTGGGCTCCTACTTAGCAGTCATGACTGTTGTTTTCTTCTGGGTTGCTAATGCTACCGATTTCTTTTCGGTAAGAAAATTGCTACCACTCTCCCCCTCTTCAAAGCGCTAGAAAATGCTTAAAACTTCTGCATTTGCTCATTCTTGTTCTGTATCCATTCTTTGTGGCAGGACAAATTTGGTGTACGATCAATCAGAGAACATGGTGGAGAGCTCACAGCAGCTGTCTATCTTCAAGTCAGCACTGTCAGTCAGGCACTCATCTTCGTCACAAGATCCCGAAGCTGGTCGTTTGTCGAACGCCCTGGTCTACTCCTCGTGTTCGCTTTCTTCGTAGCACAGCTGGTAAGAACTAAGAGACAAGCCACTGGTTCTGTGTTTGAACCTCTGCAAGATCATTTTGATTCCGTGGTGATTTAACCAATTGATTTCTGTGTAGGTGGCCACACTCATTGCTGTGTATGCGCACTGGGAGTTTGCAGGAATGAAGGGAATTGGATGGGGATGGGCAGGAGTGATCTGGCTCTACAGCATAATCTTCTACATCCCTCTTGATATTCTCAAGTTCGCCACTCGATACGCATTGAGCGGCAAGGCTTGGGATAACATTGTCCAAAACAAGACTGCTTTCACAACAAAGAAGGATTATGGCATTGGCGAGAGGGAAGCTCAATGGGCTGCAGCTCAACGCACTCTTCACGGCCTACAGCCTCCTGAAACATCCGAGCTCTTCCATGACAAAAACAACTACAGGGAGCTGTCTGAGATCGCTGAGCAAGCCAAGAAGCGCGCTGAGGTTGCAAGGTACCAAATTCTCCATCATAACCCATAAACTTAAACTTTCGAATATCGTGATTTAATCTCGTATCAGAAGCTTTTGGATCCGGTGATGATTTATTGAATGATGGGCGTTGTTGTTGAAGGTTGAGGGAGCTACACACTCTGAAGGGGCATGTTGAATCGGTGGTGAAACTGAAGGGATTGGACATTGAAACAATCCAACAACACTACACTGTTTGAGGACAGAGACACATAAATTTTCAGGCGCCGGAAGTTAGCCGGCCGCCGGAGATAGCAACGGGACACAGAAATCAGAAAGAAGAAGAAAAAGAAATTTTTATTTATTTTAATAGTGTTGTTTATCTAGGCTGTGTTCTGTTGTTGAGTTTTGCAGTAGGAAATTATTATTTAGGTGATGGCAATAAGTCACCGACACGTGTGATTGTGAGAGTTGCAATCCTATGTTGGTGTATAAACCCGACACGTGGGAAGTGGATCGGGTCCTATTATTCCATTTTTTTTTGTTTATTTTCCTATTAATAAGTAATAAAAAGAAGTAGCTTCTTTTTTCACTTCTCCAACGGTTATTACATTCTTTCATTTATTATTACTGCTCGACTCGTAAAATGCCAAAAATTAAAATGTTTAAAAAAGTATATAAAATTGAGAAGGAGAGAGTGAATTATTACAAATTAACCTCAAGAATTGAATAGGGTCCATAGTTCTATGTTTATCGTTTTCGTTAATTTAAAAACATTTTTAAAATTCTGTATATTTTTAAAATAAATAAAATCTAATTTCTTATTTCTTATTTCTTATTTTAGTTTTTTTTAAAACATAAATAAAACTATTATTTTGTACATTATGACTCATAAACATAATAAATATTTTTTGAACATGAAAATATATAAATACTTATTTAAATTTTAGGCAACCAGAAATGAAACATAAAAAATAAAAGAAAAAAAAGTTACCAACGAACCCTTAGTTTGTAGGGTAAAAATTATAATATCAATAAAATGTCTAATAAAAATTATATAATTTGTTTTTAAACTTATCAATAAAAAACTTGACAATCTTGCTTTAGAAGTCATATGAACAAAATATTAAATAAAAAGTTAAATATCATGCCATAATTATTCAATAAGATAATTCAATTGTTAATTATCTCCAACTTAAATGACGTGAGTTCATGACTTGAGTTATATTCTTATTCGACTTTCATGACACACAAATATAGAATTCTTCGAAGCACTTCAATCAAGATTTGATCTCTATCCCAATTTATGTTCACTTGATTAGCAATCTATCTAAATTAAGTTCTAAGAAATACATTTTTTTCATTTGTGCAATACAAAAGTTTTATTAAATTCTCTTTTATACTTTGTCTCTATACATTTAACTTCATCGTTAAAAATTTAAAATCACATTGTAAATATCATATCAATATTAATAGAAGATTTCGTGACATTTTGACCAGAAAAAGATTTGAATAATATTATTTCTATCTTTTAAATTCTATTTTCGTTCATTATATACTTTTTTTCTTTTTCAAGATCATTTCAGTCGAGTCCTTTTGTTTGAAAAAAAAAATGTTAAAATGTTAATGGAAGCATGAAGTGCCAGAAAAAATTAGATGTGACTGAGATCATTTCCATGGCATTTCAGAAAATGTCACGACTTGTTAATAGCAAAATAAAATAATAAAATAATTAGATCTCCATTTCATTTATATTAATGAGGAGTGTAATTTTATCGGGTCGGGTCGATTTCAGATAAAACCGAATCAACCAGAAAATTTTCGGTTTCATTCAGATCGGTTGCAGTTCGGGTGAAGTCGGTTTCGGGCTGGGTCAAGTTTTTTATTTTATTATTATTATTGTTTTTTTAGGGAGAGAGAGATGCAGTTTAAAGCAAAAAAAAAAAAAAATTAGTAAAAATATTTTATTTTAAGGATGAATAAATCACTCCTCAACCCATAAGCTTGAATAAATATCTCAACAATGTAACATTCCAAGCCTACGAGTAGAAATTATAATAAATGGGGAGGAAACGACAACGCAACAACGTAGGGGCTCGAACACACAAGACCTCCTGCTTTGATACCATTTTAAAGATGAGTAAATCACCACTCAACCCAAATGCTTAAATGAGTTGGTAAATTTAATTCATTTATAGGACCTCTCGATGATACCATATTAAGGATAAATAAACCACACTCAACACAAAAACTTAAACTCATGAGTTGGGTAAATTTAATTCATCATTGGATATCTCAACATTTTATGTATTTTAAAATATGTCACCTATTTTTTAAAATTTTTTTAAATATTGAACAAATTTTTACTATAGTATATCAAATATTATCAGTATATCATTTGAGTAAAGTTGTCATTTTAAAATTAGATCTCTATTTTTTTAAATGCTATATTTGAAGAAAAAAACTAAATGCTGTTGATACTTTATAAATTTTAGTAAATATTTTCATGTAAAAAAATTTTAAAAATAGAGATAAAAAAGGGAGATGAATTATTCCAAGATTGAGAAAAGAGAGGTAAACAATGTTTAAAATGTGCCGGAGTGTTAATTTTATGGAAATAATGTCAATAAAAATAAATATTTGTAGAAAGGTTATAAAAATAAAATTAAAAATTCATAAGAAATATTTAAATCGACAAATAAACAAAAATTAGTAATATTAAGTTAAAATATATTTGATCTCCAATACTTTTTGTAATGATTTATAATCCTCTAACACCTGGTTAGGATTATGACATTAATATAGTATTCTATCTACATTTCATGTATCAATGAGTTCGATATCTAAAAAGTAAATAGAAAAATCGACAAAATATAAAAAATATCAATAAAATGTCACTAATATATACATAATATTATATTAATCATTTTTAACATATTTAGAGATGAGAATATCCCAAATGCTTTAAACACCATAATGCTCCTTCTGCAGCATTCTGTGCTGCTACTTTCTTTCTTGCCTGAGAATTTCCATAGCATTCTAAAACTGCATCACAAGCTCCCTTCATCTCCACAATAACCTTGAACCTAAACCTGCACAAAATAAACTATAATCCCACTTAGATAAACAACTTCTATTTTATAATCCTACTTTGTAAAATCAACTAATCGTTTCTTTGCTTAGGATTTTTGGCATATGCTGAGGAAATTTCTCAGAGTTAAAAGGCTGAAAATAAACTTGAACAGCTATCTTCTACTGGGAAGCCTTCACCTTCTCACAAACATCCATGGTGACATCTGATCTAGTTATTCCCATTTTGAAGAATATAAAAGGCAGAAACATTATAAAAGCTTCAAAAAGTAATTGTTAGAAGGCCAATTTTCCGAGTTTTAACCAGTAATCCACTAGAGTGAAAGCAGAATAATAACTACAGCTTTTGTTTAAGTACTCTAGAAAAGAAATATCAAGCATTGAAAAGTTCAATTTTCATCAAACACCATGTACTCAACTAAAAGTGTTTCAACTTAGCAGGAGCGAAGTAAAGAAGGAAGGAGGGAAGATGATTGTCCCCTCTTGGTCCATCTAAAATTATATAAAAATGTAAAGATTAAATTTTCTCTCTAATTTACCCCCGAAAATTTCAGAATTTAATGATTATATATAAATATATTAAAGTAAAAATGTAAAATTTTGCACTCCCTAAAAAAATTTTAGGGCCACCCTGCTTTATAACTAGTGTGCGTACTCATTTTGATTATGGTGATTGAACTTACTTTTTTGCATGGCTTGGCCCTTCTTCCTCGCAGCATTCAAACAGAGGAGGTTTCCAGTAATTTGCAGTGCAGACCTCAAACAGAAGGGACTTTGCCGCTCTCTTTTCTAAAGTACCTAATAAAATGGAAATTTGAAGCTATAGCATTAAAGCATACATGGATAATACGAAATGGAAAATTCTGGAGGATTTACAGTGCTTTTCAGAAACGAATAGTAATAAATGCTTATGGGAATAAGAATAAGCAGCAGGATTGAAAGGGTAATATACTCCAGCTTTGATAGGTAAGGCAGAAAGTTACAAGAAAAAAAAGTATCAAAACAAAAATAGAAATACTTTAACAAAGATCAAGGAAGCCATAAAAGTGCAAGAGCTTATGTGCTGTTTGCTAGTTGAGTTGCAAAAACTACTTCTCAATTTTTAGAACAACAAGTTGTAGAAGTCGTTTTCCTTCTCTTAATGAGTTTTTATTTTATTTTTTCTTTTTGAATAAAGGGGTATGAAGACCAACTCATGACCCACTCCACTGATGTTTAGGGGTTTCGGAAAATATTCTCAAAATTTTCTATACTACTGAAAAGTTATGATCGAATAATTTATAAAGCATAATGTATTTGTGTGGGTTGGAATCAATATTCACGTAAAACTTAACCTATTTTAGCAAACAAGTCATCCTTAGGAGAATCGAAAGAAAAACAGGGCAAAGGAAAAAAAAAATGAACAGTGGGAGAACAAAATGGAAAGAGAGGAAAGTAATGATAATTTTCTAAACACGTCAGGGAAATTAACCAGAGTTCTGTTTTGGAAATGTTGGAAACCAAATGCTTACTAAAACCATATTTTCCTCTTTTGTTTACAATTGCACTTCAGATTTTCTGGACGAATGCTAAATGACTAAGTGGGAGGGCTTGGGGGCGAAATTGCTCCCAATGGAATGCAAGTGGTGGGTGAAGTATCAACTGCTTTGGCAATTCAATGAAAAGAAAAGCACAGAAGAAAATTCAAAGAAAGTGATGAAACATCACAGTAATCTTCCTCAAATAGCAAACAGCAATCACGTTGAAGAACTAGGTTTGAACCGATACCTTCTTTGGCTGAGCGATGTCCGCAACTGCAAGTGGAAGCTATTTCCCGGCTGTTCTCGTTCTTCGCGACGAAAGAATCCGACGAAGCCTCTGGAATCGTCTTCGTATTCAGAGCTCCAGCGGTGTCCGGCTTCATTTCCGGCCGGTGATTCGGCGGCGTAAAGTGAGGTACGCGCCTAATATATCTGGATTTCTCAAACTTGGCCTGAAAAAGTTGAAACCAACATCAAATTCGTCTCGAATTTTAAAGAGAATCGAATACAGAAGCAGGAAATCAACCGAACTTTACCGGAATCGAGAAGTGATGATTTCCATTTCCAGTGCGGGGATTAATTGGAGGAAGATTTTTGAGATTGACATTTAATCGTCGAGGGTACGGAGGAGTCTGCTCCATCTACTGTTCCTCGATTCTTGCGATCTCTCTTACATCGATTTGAATGGGGAATCAGCAAATGGAAGATTCGTAATCACAGGGCAGAAGCATTTTAATCGTAGGAAGAACAAACAAGAGATAAATTAGAGAGAAAAAAAAGAAGTCTCTCTCAAGCGAATCAATCAATCTCGCCTCTGCCAACAGCAACCACTGTGGAATAAATCCACTCCTCTCTCTCTCCATTACTGCGGATTTTGATACTCTGGAGCTTGAAATTTATCCATATGCCCTTTTATTAAAACTTGTTTTCAATGCTACCCCTCTTATTAAATTTGAAAATAAAAGATTGTAAAAATCACCGCACGGCTGAAAAATTGTTCATTTTAATCCGTGTACTCTCAAATCATCTATTTTGATCTATACATCGATCATTTTAGTCCTTATTTATAAAATATTAATACAAACTTTTATACACAGTAAAAATTTGGGCTACCCTTCAAAAGATTTAGTGGCAATAATTATTATCCAACCACGCTCGGAATTTGGGACTTTACTATCATCTATCATGAATCGATTAAAAGATTGAATGTTCGAATTCCTACTTCTATATATAAGTTCAACTAAGAAAAGTCCCACTATAATTTATTCTTTAGAAACATCACTATCTTTCATAGGTAATCAAATCCACCCTAATTAACTTAGTTGGCTCTTGAACTACCAATTCTTCAGCCTTTGATAAACGAATTTGAGATACAAAAATCTCCATTGCCATGTAATGACACACATTGTGAACTATTTTTTTTAATTTTCAAATTTTAGTTTAGATTTTGAAAATACTTTTAAAACGTGTTCTAACCATGAGGTCAGGACCATACCACATAAATTCTTATACCAAAGATACTTGATTCTTAACCAATCAAAATAAATATATTTAATATTTGATAACTAAAGGGAGAAAAATATAAAAGTAGAAACTTTTTTTATAATAAAATAATGAACCGCCAATGATTCAGTAGTGGGCAGAATTGTCCTAAATATATGAATTAAGAAACTTCTTCGGTGATGCTGTTCAAACTTGGTTCCCAATGATCATGAGATCCAAATTGTTTGTTGGGAGACCCTTTAATATTCCCATTTTCCAAAAACACCCCTCTCTTCACCTTCTTCCCAATCCCCTCCGATCCTCTGCAACTAATTTCCGTGCTCTCGTTTTCTTTCCCGCCGCTGGAACAAGCACAATCCGAGTCTCCGTTTTCCTTCGCCGTTGCCGGTCTCTTCTGGAGTTTTCCGACGACGGAACTTTCCGGGAAGAGGTAGTATTTGCGGCCGACCATGAGCGTCGTGTCCGGCGAGACAATCGCCCATGGCTGGCGAGATGCTTGGGAGTGAGTGACGCAGAATTTGGGGTTCCGGAGCATAATCTCCGCCGCCCGGACGGGGCCGTCGTGGACCTCCACGTGGCCGCCGGGATGGACGATTCGGACGAGATTGGCCTTTGCCTTGGCCTTGGCGCCATTGCTGCAGAGCCAGGCGGCCATGGAGTTATTTGCAGAGGGAGAGGGAGATTTTCAAGTTTTATCTGTCGCCATTTTCTAGGGTTTCTCCTTTGAATTAATCGTCCAATTTTGTCTTTTAAATCCCCAATCTTCGGTTGTTTTTTCAATACAATAACTAAAGGTTAAAATACCAAACCTCACTAACGATAAATTTTGTTAAGGGACTATTTACAACTATTTTCTAAGGTGGGACTAAACTGTTATTTCTTAAAATATAGAGTTATCATCAAACTAAAAGTGTATTTTATCCAATAAAATAAAAACGAATGATAACAACAAATAAAGATTCTACTTTTCTAAAAAAACAAATTAAGATTCTAATAAAGAAAAAAAAAACAACAAAAGGCTTAAAAGTATTGACAAAAGAATTGCAAATAAAGATTCTTGGTAAACATGGTAATAAATATCATTGAAAGCCATCTTTGAGAAAGAAAATGGCACTTCATTCAAGACAGCCCCTCACCAATAAGTCAAATAAAACACAAACAATAAAAATAATGGTTTTTTTATTACATTCTTTTTATTATTATTACTATTATTATTGTTTCCATCCAATTCACTTAATCCAAGTGCATAATCCACTTGCACATTGCAATATTAAAAACAAATCAAATTGAAAAGCTTCACCATCCAAGTTTGATTTGATCAGTTTAATTGATTATAATCCATAATTTCGATAATATTTTGATTGATTTGATTCTATTTAACCCTTTTTTAGTTTAATTGATTCTAATCGGTTTGGTAGATTTTTGTTTGATCAAGTTTCTTTCTTTCAAACTCATAAACTTAGTCTTTCGTTAGAGATATTTGGGTTGAAACATACCTTTAGTCTTCGTACTTTCATAAAAATAACGATTTAATCTTAAATTTTTATAGATAATGATTTAATTTTTACAATTTAAAATTTGTAAAGATCTTGTCCTTATAGTGAAAGATTTTGTTAGAACATCAAGTTTCAATTTTTAATTTCAATTCACCGATGGAGAGACCTCATTATACCTTAATGGAATTTTTCCCAATATGAACTAAATTATTACATACGATAGAATTTATAACCTAAATCATAACAAACTTTAATCTAAAAAACTAAATTGTAACACATGAAGAGAAGTACAGGTAACATAGATATTGGTTAACAAAATCTTTAAAAACAACTAAAGTAACGATGAAGGATTATATAATCATTATCATCATCAACCTTGATCAATGAAGAAATATAATGTAGTTCAAACAAATAATTTCTCAAATAACATAACAGTAGGTGATAATAAATTTGCCCCTCATTTTCTTGTGATTTAGCATTTTACAACATAAATCTTATATATTGAATACATTACAGTTATCACTAAATTAAATGAAGGAGAAGACTTTACCCTTATTTTCCTTTTTCGGCTGGTCAGATGTCATAGTCCAAGTCAGCAGATATCTAGAACCTACAAAGAAAATTCCTTTCTACTCTCAACTACTAACCCTAAAATAGTGTCACTTTTAAAAGATTGACAACTCGTTAATGTTTATAAAAAGTCTTTGTTTTACATTTGTTTCTCTTAATTATCAAATATTTAATGACGGTTAGATAAAAAAAGATGTCTAAGATTAAAATGTTTGGGATTAAGATGTCTGAGAATAAAATATCTGGAAAAGAAAGATAATTATGTTTGCATGGTTGTATATACGTTGGGATTAAGATGATTGAGATTAAATTGCCTAAAAATAAATTATATATAATTTATTTTGTGTGATTACTCTATAAATATGTATTTTATGTCATTATAAATATTGATTAATAACAAATCAAATTTAATTAAAAAAATAAATAATATAATTAAATTATTTCATAGGGTAAAATACACTTTTTGTCCTAAATCCATGATTTTCAAAAAATGACGTTTTATTCCCTGACCTTTAAAAAATGATTCTAAAAATGTCCCTGGTGTTAACATTCCCTCAGTGTTAGTAAGGGAATGCCAACGTGGCATTTATGAATTTAATTTTAATTATGTTTCATTTTTTTTCATTTTTTCTTCTTTTTTCTCTATCTTCCCCTATTCTCCCCCTCTCTCTTACCTTTTCTTCTCCCTGATGTGCCAATCAGACTCTCATTCTGGTAGGTTTCTAAATTTAAGTCATTGGTTTTAATTTAGTAATCCATCTTAATAATTATCACGTATTTAACAAAATTAATCATTTTCATCTTAATTGCATCAATTAATTACATTTTTTATAAAAAATTATACACTTTAATAAATTAATTTATTACAATAGAATAATAAATTTAGTACATTGTTGATAAAGTTTTAATGTTGTTTTATTAATTATAAACTTAATTTAAATATTTTAACTAATTAATTCCAATAAATAAAGTAAATAGTCACATTAAAAAAATAATTTATTGAAAAGAAGAGAGATAAGAATCTGACACAAAATCCATAACAAATCCATGAGACTGGAAGAGAAAATCCTTGCCCATGGAAATAAAGGATGCCAGAAAATAAACTATTCTCAAGAAAAATTTTCAAATMTGTGTAACAAACAAAGACTTTATTTGTCCATATCCAGAAAACCCCCCAACCAAATAGCTCCTAAAGAGCCAAGTATTTTTYGAGAGAGGAGTTTTTCTTGCAACTTTTAAGTTCCAACTACTCAGAGAGAAGCTTTCCTTGCAACTTTCAACTACTAAAAAAGAGAGGGGAATTTATAGACTACTTGCATAAATTGGCATTGGGAGTCCCAAATTTGAAGGTAGCTGGTCCTTGCTTCCCATTCTTATCGCAGCATTGACTTTGAGTSGTGTGTTAATTCACACTGTGCAGAGCATTCAAAACCTTCCAGCTATATGACTTCTGCACTTTGAAACTCATGGAGTCACGCATAAATGGTATAGAAATCAACATTGTCATTGCAAACTTCAAGGCAAGGTCAAAACAAATCAGTCTATGCATTGCCCTTTTATATAAACACACAAATAACACCATCAAAATGCATACAAGATTAGGACACAATGAGAATCAGAAGGGAAATGAAGCTAAACATAGTGATAGCATCAGTTTTAGCTCTGCTCCTGATCACCCAAGTACTTGCAGAAGCAGATATTGAACATGAGCAAAATCAACATGTAAGAAAATGGTGGAAAGATGAAGAAAAGAGAAGCAGAAGTAGAAGCAGAAGCAGAGAAAGGAGAAGCAGTAGTAGAAGAAGATTTTACTGTGACCCTTTTTACCAATACCTGTTTGGAGCCTGTGGGCAGTGGCCTTTTGCAACCGCCCCTTCACCAGATAACCCATTTTTGGGACCCTCACAAGCTCCTCTTCCTCCTCCAGTTTATCAGCCA